TCTTTGTATGAATAGCTTAAATATTTGCTCCTAAATCATATAATATCGATACTTCCGTACTAATATTAAAATTCAAAAAAAAACAAAATTCAATATCGTTTATTCAGTCTAGGCTGTTACAAGCACTTGTGAATGTCGAAATGTCGAATGTCATTATAAATGCGGAAGTGTGTCTGTCAGTTTCTTTTTCACGCTTAAACCACTGAACTTATTTAGATGAACTTTGGTACAGAGATACTTAGAGTCCCGGAAATTAAAAAGGATAGTTTTTATCATAGAAATTACCCTTTAACCCGGCGAGCGTAAGGTTGGAATAAGTAACAAAAAGCTCTAGGTGGGTGTGTTACACCCAGATCATGATTGTGTGGTTATTATACACTATTATTTTAAATATCTATTTTCTTGAATATTAAACTGATATTTAGTTATATTTTAACTTAATTAAAAGAGAAATTACAACAAATAATTAAGTAATGTTATTTATTTAAGAAATTAAAAAATAACAATTAGCACTTACCATTATTAGTAATGGCACATGTTTATGACATTTTATGAAAAATATGAAAACAAAAACAAAAAACACTATTTTATCTGCAAATAGACTCAACATAAGAACAAAATAACACTTAAAATGGATAATCAAACTAATAAAAAAAATACTTATTCGTCTTGAGATCTTGTGCAGTTTTCACAGACGGAAATGGCATGTTCCATACATAAATAACGGCTGCACAACAACAAACGTATTTCGTTTTGCGGTCTTTTTTTGTAGGACATATTTCACATTATCATCATTCATTATCTATCAATCTTTCATACTGTCCTTCGTCATCCATTTCCTGTTCTGTGTCACTTTCAAAACTTGGACTAGACTCATCGGAAAAACTAACTCATCGGAAAAGACGTCATAATTTATTTTGATTATCTTCGTAAGACATTCTAGATTTTAAGCATGAAAAAAAGCCATAAAATAACAAATAAAATAAAATTTGTTTGATCAAATTCGTTACAAGTAGCGTAAGGCGGGTTTCACGCACCCGCTGACAGCTTTCGACCTCATCCACACCATACGCCGGCGGCAGTCGACTAAAACAGTAGCAAGGGACGCTTTCGTATCTCCCCCCGCGCAGCTACTCCAGCGCACTAAGCGTATCAACAATTCGTTATTAAAATATTAATCGATTTTTCTAGGTCTGGGTGTACCACACCCAACCTTACGCTCGCCGGGTTAATAAGATGAAAGGGAAGTTGGTATGGGAAAGCAATTTTCCACGCAGACGAAGCCCCACGAAGGACTCACTAATTTTATAACAATTATGGACGTTGTCCAGTCTTTCTGATGGATAAACCTCAATGGTGCAAAATTTAATATTGGTTGATTCAACTTCTTGCCTGACAACCTGTGGTTGCCAGCTGAGCCTTGACAATATTTTCCGAATCTGCACAGGACACTATATGCATAGAAAAGCAAGTGAAAAAGTTTTTTTATTTATTGTACTAGAGACTTACAAGGAGATGTTAATAAATAATTAATGGCGTAATAGTAAACACCTGCCGACGCCAACGCCGCTTCATTTCAACTCTGGGCATCAAGTGGAACGGCGCCATACGCTTCTTCATTATAATGCTAGTAAAAAGTAATACTTTTATTTGTTTTAAATTAAATATAATAAGGAGTTTCAAAATGAATTTTTGTTATATTTATTTCTTATTTTGTAAGCATTTAACAGAACTGCTACATTTTAAAATTTAAAGAAAACACGCGGACTTCTTATCGTGCAAGGCTCTCGATCGTTTCGCATTGTAGGTAGCCCACAATGTCAAACGAATACCTACAAGTATTAAACATTTGAAAGAAGACAGTGCAATTTCAGTTAAGTTTTAATATATTAATTTTATTTTATTTGTTTGTTTTATTTGGTTTCATCTACTTTTTTACTATATTACGATACGAATAATGTTGTCACAAACGCTCTCGGCAGCACCAGGTTCTACGTGGACTTCAGAATGCAAAACTGATAAAAAGGTAAAAGCTGTGCAGGAATGGCCAATACCGAGAAATAATATTGAAGTGAGAACTTTCCTAGGCATATGTGCATACTACCGCAGATTTGTGAAGAGCTTACCTGAGAAATTATTGTGTAACTCGACGCGAACTTCTAACAGTTGTAAAGACCCAACAACACTTCAATAAGTACTTGCTGGAAAGAGAGTTCACTCTGCGTACAGACTATGCAGCATTTAAATGGTTACTTCAGTCCAAGAACCCCTGAGGGGTCAAGTGGCGAGATGGATTGAACAGCTGCAAGAATTCAACTTCGTTATAGAACACCGAAGCGGAAAAACGCACGCCAATGCTGATGCATTATCAAAAAGCAGCCTTGTGCTGAAGATTGTAAGCAATATTTAAAATGCGAGTGCAAAGACGAAGTGAAGGTTATAATAATTTCATGAATCCTGGTGTAAAGCAGAAATATCTTGGGCGCAAATGGAAGACAAGGACCTGCAGCTGATAATGAAGTGGAAAGTGAAACCCTAATGAAGTGACATATCAGCTTCGAGCCCAATCACGAAGGCATACTGGGCCCAATGGGATAGTCTTCTGTTACAAGAAGATGTGCTGTATCGGAAATAGGAGTCCCCGAATGGTAAGGATAAGACTACAAACGGTGGTCCAAAGGTGTAAAGTTGCTCAGGTATTAAAACATGTGCACAACAGTACATCTGGTGGATACCTAGGAATAAGGAAGACCTTAGTGAAAGTGAGGGAACGCTTCTACTGGATGCGCTGTCGAGAAGACGTCGAGGAAATATATGCGCCTCGGTAAAAGGGCCTCGCACTAGGTCCAAGGGGAAGATGCAACTTTACCAGGTTGGCGCTCCTTGGGAAAGAATTGCCATTGACGTCGCTGGGCCTTTTACACAAACAGAAGATGGAAACCGTTACATTGTGGTGGTTAGATTATTTCACCAAATGGCCCGAAAATGTTTGCTAGACGAAACCAGACCGACCGTAGCCAAGAGGCCCATCGAATAAGTAGTGTGCCGATTCGACATTCCGTTGAATTTACAGAGATCAAGGAAGGAATTTTGAGTCAAACTTATTCCAGGAAATATGCAATTTACACAGTCCGAAGACATGGTAGAGATTCAACCAGATACTGGGAAAATCATTTGGCGGCCGTAGAAGAACATCAACGGGACTGGGATCGATAAATTCCGCTCTTTTTGATGGCGAACCGGTCCGCAGCGCATGACACCACTGGATTCACTCCAACGAAAATTAACTTCGGAAGAGAGATGCGCTTACCCGAGGAGCTACCTACCGGAACACTTCCTACTGCCTCCAAATCAGTAGTGGAGTGCGACGCAGAGCTGCAAAGAAGGTTGGAAGAAACGCACGTGCTCGTGCATGAAAATAACCTGAAATCTGGCGAGAAAATGAAAGGCAAGACAAGCATGATCGGAATGCCGACGCTCGAGGCTTCGTGGAAGGAGAGCTCGTGTAGTTGCACAACCCAGAGAAAAGGATCGGAAAGCCCCCAAAGCTCCAGTCCCGCTGGAAAGGACCCTATAGATAGAGTGATTACGAAAATCAACGTCGACCTATCGGATAAACACGGAAAATAAAAGAAGCCCAAGATAATCCACGATCGCCTGGCATCTAACCACACTAGCAATGATGCTCGGGTTGAGCATGTCTAAGAGAACCGAAACAAAACCGCGAAAATACTAGAGGCAGAATTTACCAGAACTCAGCGGATCACGATAAAGGTCGAGTGGTGCGGTTCATTCTAATATGAGCACTATGCAGTGCGGTTGTGTGGCGAATAAAGAACTGTCAAGCGTGAACTGGCGTACTATTTCGAACCCCAGCCCGACGCGTAACAACGTAATAATTTTTTTGCTCTTAATAACACATAATAAGGTTTCGTCGAGGAAATCTGTGTCATGTCAGTTTTTATACTTTCCAGCAGCACAGACTAGCCAGACTGAATAAATTATAATGGAACATTAAATTCGTAGTCACGTCTCGCACAGTGGATAAAAACATAGACACTGACCTTATGTCAGAGCCAGAATCCAAGATCCCAAGCCCACCTGACCTTACTTCCTGATGGACATAATATGGATAATTGAGTAGTATTAGTGTGAACAATGAATGTATAGTTGTAATGTATAATGTATGTTGTACAGAATATTGTAAACAGTTTGAAATCAGTACTTTTTCAGTACTTATTATTCAGTTAGCAGATACGACATTAACAGGCTTATTAAAACACATACCTGCACTTGGAACATGGAAATGGAGTCGTCCAACATCTGCACCCTGACGGGGAGCATTTTGCCCGGAGTAGCGGGAGCCGTGCTGTATAGTTCCTCCTTACATTATCTTCTCAGCTGTAGGGACATTAATTGGCTAATAATAGCACTTGGAACATGGAGATGGAGTAGTCCAAACTTCCGCGATCTGACGGCGAGCATTTTCCCCCCTTCTTGGGGGCAGCGGGGGGCGTGCTGTACAGTTTGTCAGCTTTATGGACATTAATGTGCAAATAATAGCACATACCTGCACTTGGAACATGGAGATGAGTCATCCAAAATCTGCACCCTGACGGCGAGCATCTTGCCCCCTCTTCTTGGGGGCAGCGGGGGGGCGTGCTGTATAGTTTGTCAGCTGTATGGACATTTATGTGCAAATAATAGAACATACCTGCACTTGGAACATGCAGATTGAGTCGTCCAACATCTGCACCCTGACGGCGAGCATCTTGCCCCTCTTCTTGGGGGCAGCGGGGGGCGTGCTGCATAGTTTGTCAGCTGTATGGACATTAATGTGCAAATAATAGAACATACCTGCACTTGGAACACGGAGATTGAGTCGCCCAACAGCTGCACCCTGACGGCGAGCATATTGCCCCCTTTCTTGGGGGTGGCGGGCGGCGTGCTGTATAGTTTGTCCGCTGTATGGACTATAATGAGCAAATAATAGCACATACCTGCACTTGGAACATGGAGATGGAGTCGTCCAACATCTGCACCCTGACGGCGAGCATCTTGCCCCCTTTCTTGGGGGTGGCGGGCGGCGTGCGTGAGCCGCCACCCGCGCCGTCTACGCCGGCCGGCGTGCTGGCCGAATGATGCATCCGACCTGTAGACGATAGCTCATGAAACGCAATATAATTACGAGTTTATGTCGGCATTTTCTGCGAGGTGGTTAAGAATCTACTCATTATTTTACTACCACGAAAATCGTTACGACCCTTTGTCTCCATACATGAAAACATAATATACAGTTACTACCATATTTACGACATTCTTATGGGGGGAATAGTTTTTAGTTTCCATACGAAGTCCTTCAAGATTTATAATAAGTAGAGAGTCCTTTTATATTAGAGTTGCCAAACAACACGATTTTGATGTTACAACCCAATTTATAGCCCAAAATTAAAGCCGAATACAATACAATGTATTGCTGTTTAGATCTATCCTGTTGGGAATATGATAAAAACAAAAGATGCAAATTCAGTGTTGACTACAATTCCAATACATTTACGTTTTATATGATCAAGAATTAATGGTAAAAAGGTTGAGCAAGCAAGTAAGCAAGAGACATTGCTTGCATAGTTCAGTCATAATTAAAAAAATCTTATTAGCCAGGCACTACTTGGGTATAATATTCAATTATAACAATGGCAGATCTTTGCTATCATACTAGCTGTGAGACGTAAAACTCCAAAAGATCTACCCTTACACCAATACAATCTGCAGTCCAGTATTTGAGAATCACTTAGGAGCCAAAAATCATTTGTGACAAAAGTAAAACTATATATGGGTAAGAACCAAACCATTCTTTCTTACAATTCAGTAAATTTGAGTTTAATTATAGCCCAGGAAAATTGTCACCTGATAATACAATTTTTGCAGCATTCTCGATTTTGGACAAAGTTGTATTCGGCACTTAAGTCATAAACTTGGATTATTCATAGGTCCAACATCATAAACAAATCAGCATAAATTGAAACTATGACACAAGCTCTGAAGTAAAAATTTACTGGACTATTCTGTGGTTAAAAGCTTTTTTATCACAAGTAAAATCTATAAAATACCTCATAAAGTCAATAAAACACCTACTTAAAGCAATATTTATCATGCAAAAGGAAATATAAAGAGGTTCTGATTTATTTCTTTTTCAATTTTAATTAATTTCATCAATACCACTTGATGAGTGAGTGACAGTGACAAAATAATTGAAACATTTATTTTCTCTCCTGTAGTTATGTATTCGGGGATCTTTTGTGGGGTTTGGTTTTCAATCATTGTTATGCCTCGTTCTAGATAAGATGTATGCCAAATTTTATCCAAATCCAATCAATAGTTTTCGTACAATTCTCATGTAGCCAACATTATACATACTTTCAAAATTATTATACCATAGGATACTAGACTATAATTGTGGAACATGTATAATACAATATTATGTGTTTTAGCAAGCAAAAATACCATATCAAAAAATTTATGTCTGAACATAAAAATAATTTGTAATGAAATTGTGTAAATTACTTATACAAAAGCATATGGGTCAATTTTCTTAGGCATATTCACACTAAAGATATTATGAGATAAAACAGTGCTTAATTTTATTTGTAAAAATAAAACTGTTTTATTGGCTTTCTATAACTCACCAGGTAAAGAGTGGTATCCTATTGTGGACAGGTGCCCAGTTGAGTTGCAGCTACCTGGAGGAAGGTCGGATTCCATCATACTGTTGTCTGTTTTGCTAGTATCCAATTCGCACCACTGTCCTCCATTGTATTCATTGTGCTATCAATATTAGGCTTTTGTTACTTCACCAATTTGTATTCATTACAGCATCTGTGAACAACATATTTTTTTTAAATTCTGATGACAGATTATTTTTTGATCTAGATGAATCATTCTTGTGATGGGTGGTAGGAAAACATATTGGATGATTCCAAAGAGCATGTAATAAGTCAATTTGAATAAAGTATAATTTCATTTCATTTCATAACAAGTCTTGTTGCATAGGACTATTACAGTTCGTGACTTTTAAGTAAAAAAATATTTAAATTAGATATGCAAGTTTCTATACTTTTATGCATTGGAAACCCACACTCTAGGTGCATCTGTTAGCTATAGTCATTTAACATTATCACTTAGGAATCGGTGATGCATGAAGAAAAAGTAATGTCATGTAACATTGTAATAATTTCCTTGAATAAATAATATACTCACATAGCACTATATGTCTGTCAAAGTTGACATGAAGTTCATACAATTTTAGCCAGAATTGAATCATCAGGGTAAAAATATGCAATCTGACTCTACAGTCAGTACCTACATATTGAACACAGCTCTTTACTTGGCTATTTAAATTAGCTAATTGTCATTTTGACAATAGGTTGTCCTTATCATGCTCTATATGCTAAGAAAAAGAGACTGTTGTCAACTGTTTTTTTGGCCTGTGGCTTTTCTGTTTTTCACAGACATTTAAGCAATATTCTGCAATAAAAGAAACATAAGAAATTTTAAAGATGAGGGTTAGCAAATTTTGATTAGGTTTCTTCCTTGAGTGCACTCAATCTACCCTAAAACCAAAATTACAGACATACATAAATTAAGTGCAGCACATACCTGGCTGGAAATAATTACACTATCTGTTCCTTTAGTAATTTACTTGGTAAATAGCATAATCTACGTTGTAACACTCCACACCCATATTCTACGTTATAATTTACTGGCTAGTTATTTTATGTAGTCACTTTTAAATTTTATTTTAATCTTGAGCTTTAAATATTTACTGTCATCAGAAATGGGTATCCCATTCCCAAAATAATGGATTAAAAACTTGAAAGTATGTGCAATTATCTATAGAATTGTTGCTCGAAGCTTTAAATGCTTAAAATATTTATTGTCATCAGAAATGGGTATTCCATTCCCAAAATAATATAGTAAAAACTTGACAGTATGTGCAAATCCTATGCATTTGTGGACCTGAATGTTAAGAAACCATTTATTCAAGAAACATCATTGAGACAAATGAAGGAAAAGGTCTACTTAGTGTTGTTAAATTACTTTGATTTCTATATTTTTTATTAATCTACTTTGTTAAAAAATATAAAAACAATTGAATAGAAAATAAGGTTTCCCTTAAATCATTAAAAAAACTTTGACAAATCTAGCAACTGCACCAAGGGATGCAAAACCGGCGGCGCCCTACTTTACACCCCTAGACATAAATAGTTAGCTTCAATGCAATAACCAGAAAATAGGTCAAAGGAGGTGTGCCCGGTCGTCGCGAGAGAGACAGACGCACTACCTCCACCGGCGCAACAGAATCTAATAAGGCGCACAAATCCAATTAAGATGTAAACATACAAATCTTTATCCTAATGGCCACTGCTTACTTAAAATACATCTACAATTAATGAATCAAATCAGTAAATACTCATGAGCAACCGAGGAGAAGAAACGACGACGCATCCAGTCCCCAACTCCTCACTTGTCAACAGCCTCTCTCATTCATTGATCTTATTGGTCAAATTGTAAACTATGTTTTTGTAACACTTACACAAATTTGTTAGTAACTGTTCTGAAAAGTTCCACTCTATAATTATACCTCCACTAATTTATGTTTGAATCACAATAAATAAATAAAAAACACGAACGACTTATCACACCCAAAATTGTCTGGCAGCCATATTTATTTACCTTCCAATTAGGCATGCGTCCGATATATCAAAACGAATCCAAAATCCGATTTCAAATACAAATCGATACCGAACGATTTCTCAACAAGAAAATCCGATTTCAGAAATGTAACCGAATCAAAACCAAATACCACAAGTATCCAAATCTAAATCGGATTCGAAATTCGTGCTTTCGTTTTCGGAAGTCAGATTTCGTGCTCGGAACTCCGAATTCGATTTGCTGTTTACGGAAATCTATTGCTGTTCTCTGAGGCGGGATTATTTATCACTGAAAAGATATGTCGTCTAAAAACATCAAAAGTCGAGCAACTTACATTTTTGGACGCTAACCTGAAGTAATTAGGTTTGATTTTGTAAATGGTTTGAAAAATAATAAAAACAAACAGAATAATAAATAAAAATACTAAAAAATATGTAAAAAGAAATCATTGTATAAAAGCCGATTTTTAAATGCGCCGCAAAAGTTTTACTCTTAACCGTAAACATAACTTTTCTGCTAGTCCTAAGCCTAGATTTAAAGCATGAAGGAAAATCGCGAATATCTACGAGTATCCTTGCTTCCTACAATTAATTGTTTGTGATTGTCGTTAGCTAATAAAACCAAATCATAACACAAACTAGTGAATTGGCTAAGTTCAGCACATCTGAAATCGGATATCTAAAAACGGATTTTAAAATCGATTTTGAAATCTGAAATCCGATAAATATCCGTTTGCGTTCAAAACCAAAAACGCCCATGTCTACTTCCAATGTTCCAATCCTTCCATCGCTGCTCTAGGGATGGATTGTACTGTTTTAATCAACTTTTCAGAAATCGATTGTGGCACCGCAACACGTCAAACCGATTTTTCGGGACAAATTTCGTCAAAATTATCGTCGTACCGTTATGCCTATTCAAAACATATACAAATGAAGATGGCGAGATAGCATAGGCGGGCGATCCCCATTCGCCTAAGTACGTGGCCACTCTGACTAGATATGTGTCGTTTGGGATTAAAACGTTAATTTTAATAAAATAGAAAAAAATCTAGTCAAGTTACAAAAGTACTTTAACAATTGAAATCAATTATTGGGAAATTTTGATTTATTCTAGAATATCTAATGGATTTTGACTGTTTAAATAGCCTTGTTCCGTACTAAACAGAAATCAAGACTACTGGATTAGATTTTGTTTCTGTTTAGTTTGGTAGTACTTTAGTTTTAACCCTATCATCTACGGTATGATCGGAATAGCCTGCTGACATAGTTACAAATAGCGAATACGAACAGCCTTGTAAAGAGCCGGCATTAATCAAAAACTATTGAACGGATTTGGATGAAATTTGGTGTGCATATAGTTTACGAACTGAATGACATAGGATAATAACAGAGACGGAAACCTACAAGTATCTTGGTATATCACAGTCTTTGGGTGTTATGGATGGGGACGTAAAATATGCAGTGAAGAAGCGTTTCTTTTGGAGACTGACAAAATCACTGAATAGTTTTTTGTCGGGAAGCAATAAGGTGCACGCCTTCAATACCTGGGTGATGCCCTTATTCACATACTCCTTTGGCATACTGAGATGCACTCAGACTGAGTTAGACACTCTGGACATGAAGGTCCGTCAGCTGCTTGCAATGCACCGTATGCTTTATCCACGCTCATCTGCTATAAGACTATATATCCCACGTAAGTGTGGAGGTTGTGGCTTTTTAAATGCCGAAAATCTGCACAACCGAGAAGTGTGCAGTCTCAGGGATTACTTCCTTAACTCAGGTGGGTTGCATTATAGCAGTTGACAAAAACCTGACGCCGGTCTCCTTGCCTAAAGAGAACTGGTGCAAGATATCGTATTGACAGATTGATTAAAACGCCAGGCAGTGCTTACGATATCCCCATCCCGCATGACGCAACCCTTGTGAAGGCCGAGAAGGACAAGCTCAGCAAAGTACCTGGACTTGGCCAACGAGGTAACTACTTTGTGGAATGTGGATTCAATGATTATTGTCCCTATAGTCATTAATGTGAACAGTCTCATAGCGAAGGGTCTCGACCAAAATCTAAAGAGTCTATCGCTAGATGATTAGGTCAAGGGGCAGATACGTCAGGCGGTTTCTTTCTCTGCGACCCCAACCACCGGTAGCTTGGGCCTATCTCTGCTGCTGGTGGCCTACTAGGTTAGGTTTTTCATTTTTTTATTTATTTTTGTATTTACGTTTCTGTATTTTACGTTTATATCTGTTTTATAAAAAACCTAACTGTGAAATAAAATAAATGAGAGATGAATACTATTTTATGGTCTTTTTACATGCTAAATTATAATTCATTAACAATAAGACAATATGGAGTGACTCAGCCAATATTGGTCAACCTGGACCTGAAAAAACGTTTTTTTTTTCAGTCACCCCTTAACTAAATTAACATAATTAATAATCAAATTATATACTCGCTTCATTCATATGGCACTGGATGGACCCCAGTCAACAACAAACAGCGGCAACTTGCTATAATAAGGTTCAGGTTTTCCGCAGGAAGTGGTTTAAGAACTAAAAAGGCTTTGCAGTACTTTTTTAATGTTGATATACTTATTTTATAGTGAAGGGTTGGAGATATATTAGGTCATTCTAAATCCTTGCTGCATTGAACCTGAAACATCCTCCTCTATATCGTGCAGATTGGTGTGCTGCAACTTGAGCAGATTTTGTATGACAGAGTGTAGACAGAGTAAAGATTATTCTTATTAGATACCTTTAAGATAAAATATTTTTCGCACAAGTATATTGGATCTTATTTCTAAACCAATTTTTGTAATGAACATGCCTTCAACGCTAAAGTGGTAGAACAGAATTGCAGTGAAACGGTTTTAGGATCCCATGGATTTGGAAGCAGAAATCATAGGGGGCAAATGCTCTTCAACTTCCCCAAAGGGGGGGGGGCTCTTTTTGATAATCTCTTTCTTCAAGAAACAACTGTAAAGGAAGTGGACGTTGCAAAGCCCGGACGCTTTGACTAAAAATGAGATCAATTTCATCAAGATGGACAAGAGGCACATATTCAGAGACATCTCCGTGATCAACAGGTTCAATACCGGTAGTGGTCACCGCTTGTCTGGAGCTCTCTGAATATCAACTTTAATGCCGAGCGCGTCCGTTTGATGAAATCCAGGCTCCGACCTACTCTGCTCCAGTCCATAACTGGAACTGAAACGTTCCATTCAAATCTGGAAAACCGATTTGCTGCCGTGGAAACCACATCAGACGTAAACCAAAACTTGAAAATGTGGTTCGGTTCCTAAGGGAAGAGAGTATGAGATTATGTGCAATGCAGCGTAAGGGCAGAAAGTCAAAGCTTTCGGAAGAGACTTTAGGATTCATAAAGGAACGACGTGAAAATCCACAGGTCACTTAGTCGGCAAAGCGGACTCTAAACCAAGAGATCAGTAAGCACGTACAACACGACCTCCGGTGCTCCAATACTCTCTCGATTGAGAGAGCGATTGAGCAGAATCGAGGGTCCAAAGTGTTCGTACAATCTCTTGGAAGAAGCCATCTGACAAAGTTGACCACAGCAAATGGGGTAGTTGTTGCTTCAAAGCCGGCAGTCCTTTCGGAAGTGGAAAACTTCTACGGCCAGTTGTACGCATCACATACATCCCAATCCCGGAAATGAGGATTCTAGAGCCACATTAGCACGCTACTTCATCGAAGACCTGCCAGATGTCAGTATTGGCGAAATCGAGATTGCTCTTAGACAGCTTAAAAATGGAAAAGCCCCTGGAGAGGATGGTGTTACAACAGAACTCTTGAAAGCTGGAGGTAAACCCGTACTGAGGGAGAGGAGTTCTAACTTCCTTTTCGAAGTTAGAACTCCGGAGGCGTGGAGCAGGAGTGTGGTCGTCTTGTTCTTTAAAAAAGAGAGACAAGACCCTACCTAAGAACTATCGACCCATATCCCTTCTAAGCCACGTCTATATGCTGTTCTCAAGAGTAATCGCAAACCATCTTGCACTAAGACTTGATGACTTCCAGTCACCTGTACAGGCTGGGTTTTGGAGCCGATACGGCACCATAGACCACATCCATATAGTGCAGCAGATTATGCAGAAAACTGAAGAGTACAATCAGCCCTTGTGCCTAGCATTTGTTTCGTTAATTGTATTGAAAATGAAATCTAAATATTTGAAGTAAATCGATTTATCTATCGCTTGCATCCATACCTCACGTGCCATGAACCTCCCTAAAGTACGTCAGTCACTCTGTTAGCTGTCACTGTCACTGTGGCTGTCAGTTTTGTTGGGGTGTTTCGTGTTTTTAAACTTCGTTAGTTCGCTTAGAAATTTTCGTAAACTTTTTACTAAAGGATTCATTTACAAATAACATGATTTAATAATTGATCAGTGGCAAGTGCAGCAAATAATAGCATTAAAATGGAGACTACACCTCTCATAACGAGGCCTAAAAAGAAATCCGTATGGTCAAGGTATTCACGAAATTTTTGTACCTACTTACGCATTATTCTTTGTCTCAAAAATATCCTTTAAACTTTTTATGTTAAGATTACGTGTTATTATTTCTAGGTTTTTATTTTCTAAATTTCAAAAACAAAATCTGAGTCCGCGAGTTATTTACCTGGGACAACTCCCAGAGGAAGAATTTCCACAAAATTATGTTTGTAATCAAGTGAGTATTGACCTTATTGCATTTATAAATACCCTATTATATTTAATATACGAGTAATTGATCAAGGTATTGTTGTCTAAAGCGATTTCAAAGTAATTCTACATTTTCATTATGAAATGCTAAAATTCACAAAGGCTGTCGTGGCTGCTTCTCATTAAGCTGGCGATATGGTGATTGGCCACCTTTACATATATAAAATAATATCAAATGGTTTATCAATTATTTTGTAAGCAAAAAAGTAATATGTGTGGATGAACTACTAAATTTATTTTCTCTAAACCAGCTATACTCTAAGTGTGTTCCGCGGAACCCTAGGGTTCCGTGATACCTCTGTCGGGGTTCCGCAAGAATTTAGAAATAAAAAAATCAAAACACCTCTCTCTGGTCGCTCCGCGGCTGTGCGGACTCCGCGGCCGCGCGGAGACAAAACGCTATGAATGTTATTTATTTATTTATTTGTATTTGTATAAGCTTGTGTTACATTAGCTGGTACAATATCTCATAAGTTTGGTCTCAACAATTTTATACTTGTACAACGCGTTCGCTCTAAGTTTGCCGGTCTGTGGAATGCGCGTACCCTCCCCCACGTGACAACAAAACTTATAATGTGTCATAGTTTTACCCAAATATCTAACGTACACAATTTTTATTGTTACAATTAAATAAAAAATTTCGAACGTCATACACTCATACCTATCGCCAGCGGCAAACTTAAAACGAGCGGGTAGGTATACTTGTAAGCGCTCAGTCTCTTTGATAAAAGCCGCCTCTGAATTAGACGCTATAGTTGTCAACTAGCGACTTTCGTCTCTAACTTCAAAGGATAAAGTCGATATTGTTTACAACGCTATTTTTAAATTTCTGTTTTTATTTTTGCTTTTTGTTTATCAAAGGTGCCGACTCGAGTATTTTCGAGAATATTTGAGATCGAGTCTAGGACTAAGTATAAAAGCGGCGATCGCGCGTTGGCGTCGTCAGTTGATGATTAGCGTTCGGAGCGATAAGTTACTACCTACTTACAAGCTCGCTAGCGAGAAACTGGTGTTCATTGTTTTACTGCCTGCTGTATTCTGTTGTCTCAGTTTTATACATTTCTTCCCTGTAGGTTCTAAATTTAGTCTCTTATACGCAGTAACGATTGTGCATTATTTAAACCCCACTATCCTGACTTGTAACATTATAAATAAAGAAGAATGGAACGTTGGCTTAAAGGTGTTAAACGTGTTCCAACAACATCTTCTAATGACGCTGAATGTTCAAAAGCAATGCGCGCGGAGAATTTAGCAATCACCGATCCAGAAGATGATGCCACGAGTGCCACGACGTCAAGCTCGACGGTTTCAAAGACGAAAAAAAGGAAGTATGATGAATCTTATATCAGTTTCGGATTTGTTGATTCCAACGGCTCACCTCTCTGCATGCTCTGTAGTAAACTGCTTCCTAATAGTTCCATGGCACCTGCCAAATTGCGTCGACATTTAGAAACCGTACACCCCGAGACTAAAGACAAGAATAAAGAATTTTTTGTTCGCAAAAAAGATCAGTTATTAGAAAGTCAAAAAAATATGATGCATGTAACACAAACTACCAACGAAAAGGCCACGGAGGCATCATACTTAGTTAGCTATCGCATTGCACAAGCAGGTGAAGCGCACACTATCGCTGAGAAATTAATAAAACCATGTGTATTAGACATAACAAAATGTATGCTTGATGAAAAATCTGCAAAGCATCTTTCTACTGTTCCGCTATCAAACGATACTGTTTCACGACGAATCCATGATCTGGCAAGCTACGTCAAACAAGAACTAGTTACACGTCTACAAAATACACGATTCGCTTTGCAAATGGACGAGTCGACTGATGTCGCTGGTTTGGCTATCCTGCTGGTTATTGTGAGATATCCATATAAAAGTTCTTTTGAAGAAGACATGCTTATGTGTTCATCGCTGCTTACAAACACTACCGGGGAAGAAATTTTTAATAAAATAAATATATTTTTTGAAGAACATAATCTCAGTTGGAACAATTGCATTGACATTTGTACAGATGGGGCCAAGGCGATGACAGGTAAAACAGCAGGAGCAGTGTCACGAATGAAAAATAAAGCGCCTAATTGTAGTTCCAGTCATTGTATTCTGCATAGACAAGCACTTGCGATGAAGCAAATGCCGTCTAATCTAAAATTAGTTATGGATGAAGCGGTAAAAATAATTAATTTTATCAAATCACGACCACTACAATCCCGATTGTTCTCATTATTGTGTGAAGATTATGGCAGCAAACATAAAACACTGCTGCTCCATACAGAAATGCGATGGCTGTCTCGGGGAAAAACTTTAACAAGGCTATTTGAACTTAGAGCCGAGTTACAAATGTTTCTTTCAGCAGATACTTCTTTTAATTTGAAGGACCGTTTGTATGATAAAACTTGGTTGTTCCGATTGTCTTTTATGGCGGATATCTTTCAAAAACTTAACGAATTAAATTTATCATTGCAAGGTAAACAGACAACAGTGTTTCAGGCCTATAATAAAATAACTACTTTTAAAAGAAAATTAGATTTTTGGATCATTTGCATTGGTAAGAAAGAAATAGAAAGTTTTACGTTACTCACTGAGTTTGTTAGCGAAAACGACTCAGAAATGTTTGAAGATAATGTGTTTGAAGAATTGGTCCAATATCTCAGTTCGATGCGCGCATCTTTTGAAAAGTATTTTCCCGAAGAACACAATACAAAAATTAAAGTGAACTCCTGGATTCATAATCCTTTTTTACCCAACTTGGAAAAGCCTGAAAACATGTCAAATGAGATATATGAATCTCTTTTAGAAATGTCATCAGACACAAGTATGGAGTCATTGTTCAAAACGACGCCTCTTAATGATTTTTGGTGCAGAATCCAAGATGAATATGCAATGCTTGGCCAAATGGCTCTGGATATTCTTCTCCCGTTCCCAACTACATATTTGTGCGAAACAGGATTCTCTACCTACGCAGCCACGAAAACAAAATATCGCAATAGACTGGACGCCGAAGCTGATATGAGACTCCAACTTTCTTCCATCAAACCTGATATCAAGCAATTGATGAAAAATAAAAAACAGTTTCATACCTCCCACTAGTTAGATTTTTTCTTTTTTAATGTTTTCTATTATTGTCCTTACCAAGTGGTGAAGTAAATAATAATTAGTAACGGATACATTGTACTTTTATTATGCTGATTAATATAGAATACACTTATAAAAATAATTGTTTTATTGTAGGGTTCCATCAAGTATTTTGCTTCCCAAAAGGGTTCCGTCATTTAAAAAGTTTGAGAACCACTGCTCTAAACATTGTAGTCTCTTACTTCTATTAAGTCCTGTTTTAAACCTATTGATATCTCTGTTTAATTTTTAGCAAATAAAAGTGACAGCCTCAGTTATAGTCCAGGTTTAACTTTACATTTTATAATAAGGCGGTTAAAGACTCATATAAGTTAGTGTAATTTTAATTAGTTAGTGTATTATTTAATAACATTGTTAAAGAAATGACCTAAAATAAAGAGGCTTTCGCTACTTTAATAGTTATTTCATATTACAGTAAGCTCCACAAAAGATGAGACTTGACCAGTGCTGTGCCGCTCTTCCCAGGCTCATTTCACCACCCCGATGGGGCCCGATCCCTTCCCCCTAGACCTGGTACTGCTAAAGAGACCTTTGAATCGTCTGGTGTGCGTGTCAAACCAAAAATCAAGTCTCATCTTTTGTGTCGGTATTGTACAATGACCTAGTGGATAGATACATAGATTTCTCCTGTGATAGAGGAGTAAAATAGAGCCTAACCATTAACAGTACCATTAATTGAATGATTATTGTGCACCCACTAATAACTAGGGAAATTGTGGATTGTATAAATGATAAGATGTAAGAATCACAACAATGTATTATAATAAAAATAACATCAATGCTATATCTCATCTATTGTGTTTCCAGAAATATAATATTATCACATTCTTACCAATGGTCCTGTTTGAGCAATTCCGCTTCTTTCTAAACATGTATTTCCTGGTGATGGCAGTGAGTCAATTCATACCAAGTATCCGAATCGGATATCTCTATACATATTGGGGACCATTATGCTTTGTATTGGCAGTTACATTGTTCAGAGAAGCATTGGACGACTTCAGAAGATATAGGTAAGCAATGCACTGGAGTTCACAGCATATTTCTGATTTTTATTTGTAAAAAAATTTCAATTGGTTTATGTAAATTGAAACAATTTTTTTATACAGACGAGATAAGGAAGTAAACCGTCAGATGTATGAGCGTATAGTCCTAGACACATCTGTGGATGGCTACAAACCATTTGCGATTGAGAAAGTACCATCATCGTCACTGCGTGTTGGTGATATTGTGATGCTCCATAAAGGTCAGCGTGTTCCAGCTGACATGATACTTTTGAGAACTAATGAGACCATGGGAACCGTTTTTATTCGTACAGACCAGTTAGATGGAGAAATTGATTGGAAATTAAGGTATGTAAACGTTAATGCTCAATAAGCACAATATTATTTTATCTTTCATCATCAACTTGGGACTTCAATGCCAAGGAACAGGCCTTCCCTATTTAGTGAATAGGCACAATGAACCATAACACTTCATATGGACCCAGTGCCTATTACAGGTCGCGGCACGTACCTAACTCTAGGGTTAAACAAAACGCGGAGGGGATAACTGCGCATGGGTACGACTGGAGAGCCAATCGGCGCAACGCACCCCCGTCCGCGCACCTCTTTTCCGACCAAGACATCTTAATTTTTACTTCTGCACTATAACAGTCAGCGCTAGAGTTTCGTGCCGTGACTTGGGTATAGTGGGTGTTAACCATTGAGAATGCTACTAGAATCTAACATGCATCTTACAATTACAGATAATTTTTATTAAAAAGGACCAATGGTAAAAGCTTGCTTTCTAGAGCACAGAGTTTAGTTTATATGTTAAGCTTTATTTTAGATGGGATGCCCTAGTAAGGCAAACTGAAAGATTGAAGTTTAAATAAACATACTTTACTGCATATATAACAAGTGGTACATATTTATCTAAACATAGGAACTAACACAGAAAACATGGCTGAGATAGGAACCGAATAGATTTCCAGGAATAGGACGACTGCACGATGCGGTGTTGGCGTCGCGCACAGCTTATATCAAAATCGCTAAAGCGGTTAAAAAAAACAGTCATATGCTTACCTGGCTATATAAAAAAAAATAAAACCGACTTCAAAATCGAAAATGGAACCAAAAAGTAAAAATTAATATCTGGTTCATGATTTGGAAGTCAGGTGGGTCAAGATTGAAAGACGTATTATTACCGATCAGTAACGAAAATCTATTTAATATTTCAATCTTGACCCCGCCCGACTTCCAAATCATGAACCAGATATTATATTTCAATTTTTAAGTTTCATTTTCGATTTTGAAGTCGGTTTTATTTTTTGTTTAAAAAAAATTATTTCATCCAAAAACCCGACTGCTTAATTATACTTCAAATAAAAACTGAAAAGAAAAAAACAAGTTCAGTAGTCTATAATTCTGTTTAATAATAAGGAACAAAGCTACTTTAACAGTCGGAACCCATTAGACATTCAAGAATACATAATATTTTTCAATAATGGGTCCCGACTGTTAAAGTAGCTTTGTTCCTTATTAACAGAATTATAGACTACTGAACTTGTTTTTTTCTTTTCAGTTTTTATTTGAAGTATAATTAAGCAGTCGGGTTTTTTTTTTAATTTTTTAAATTTACCTTTTTTATTTCACTCTTTTTAGTTCGTTAGTATTTTAAGAAGGTATATACCGTCAGTCAGTCGCCGTAAGCCATATTTCGTTTGTGTTCTTTTTAGTAGGATAGCAGTGAATATAAAATTCATTTACTTTTATTCATCAACTATTTAAAATTGGCAGTGACTGCATTGTCATGTCAACGTGCGGCTCTAAGATTGTGATATACACAAATGCAGTGATTTGTAGATCCTAAACAATCATATAACATGAAAAATGATGTTAGGAACCTAAAAATGATTTTCGATTATCTAGACAGTGATATCGCACTCGACATATTTTGTCAACTTATTTTTTTTACTTCATCACAATACGGCGCCTAATTTTGCTCATATTGAATTTTGATTACTATCATATCTTTATGACGCTCCCATGATTGAGACGAATCGATTGATGTATGAATCATCAAAATCGGTCCAGGCGTTTGGTCTCTAGTGTGCCACAAAGGAACAAACATACATATATAGACTGTTAAACACTATACCCTGTCTGCGCGTTGCGCTTCGCGCTTTTGCATTGCGCAATCGGGTAAAAACATCGTGCGTGCCTTTGAAATTTGAAGGTTTCCCTCGATTTTCCCGGATTCCACCATCAGATCCTGACTTGGTTCCAATGGGACCAACTCGAAAGTGCACTCTTTCGAATAAAAAAAGACTTTGAAATCGGTCCACAATTGACGGAGAAATCAGTGAACATACCTAAAATATATATATATATATATACAGTCGAACACAGAATCTCCTCCTTTTTTGAAGTCGGTTAAAAAAAGTTAAACTACATAAGATATAAGAGCATGCATACAAATTTTATTAATATTAAAGGGAAGACAAACCAAATCTTGATATGCTAAGTTGTCAAGGGATTTGTTATCTTGTTCTATGAAGTGATGACTCAAGGAACATACAAAACAACAAAGTGATGTATTACATGCAACAGAACTTACATTACAATTTTTTTTTCTGATATTAAGATGCTTACATTTTGGAACAAAGATATTGAATTTATTATTTATCTGTAATACAATTTTGAAATATAATGTACTAGATGTGATCCCGCGGTTTTACCCGCGGTTTATTAGGGATATTTTCCCGCAGTAAAACGTAGCCTATTAATCCAGGGTGTCAGCTAACTCCATACCAAATTTTATTAAAATCGCTCCAGCCGTTTAGACGTGACGAAGTAACAAACATACACACTCACAAACTTTCGCCTTTACAATATTAATGTGATATATTATATATATATTTTTAAAATGTAAAGTTAGAATTAAGATTGTGATAATAAAGTTTTGATCACCCATACTAACCACCAAGCCATAAAATATCTTATTTTATCTTTATGATAATAAAAGTATTAATTATTTAGTTAATTATTTTGATTTACAATAATCAAGGATAATACCTCAACTGTAACAAAATAATTTATTTTTAAATAAGTTTTTCAAACATAGCTATTTAATATCCTTTTCATTAGTAATAAAAGCATTGACTGTTGCATCAATAAAACAATAAATATCTGACTTTATCTATTCTGTAGCTCACAAGTTCACTATCACATTTATTATAGTGACCGTGATAAACAACCAACATATAAGTTAAGTTAACAAGTAGCAAAAGCGTATGTCAGTGAATCATTCATTGCTTTATCTTATATTTTAGTAAGTACGGATTTTTAATTAAGTTATGAAGAATTGGAGGAATAAAGGAGGTTGTTGGAGATGATAAATTTGTATGTGCAGCTGAATGAGCGTGCTTAGGGTGGAACTAATTCAAATTTCGAATTTTAATTTTATCGCATTTAAATACCAAAGCTTCGTCACGCAGGTGTGAGAGAATCATACAAATGGGTGACTAAAAATTTCTTCTCTCAATCTCCTTCATGCTTCGAAAGGCTCATTAAGCCTTTGGTCACAACTGCATCTGCAGTCGTATGCATACCTACAAAGACGTACTGAACCGGCGTGGTGAATCATGACCCGTTTTTACAAGCCTTTATCTCAGCAGTGAGGACATTGATAGGATGATGCCTACTAATTATTACATGTTATTAAATGTAAATAAACCTAAGCTAGAGAAGGCCTAAATAATCGCATTCACTGTAAATATGTATATTGTAGTATCCAATTATGAACATTCATAATTTCAGCTTTTAACAATAGCAGTTTAGGACAAAATAATGGTTGGAATTTGAGAGTTATAATATCAGGAAAAGTTAAACAGTAATAAGGCAATAGGCACTGGGCCCTATTTCATAAATATAATACCGTGGTATTTTTTATTTTATTGTAGTAAATTGAAATAAACCTATTAAAAAAACTATCGTAATACTTCTACTACATAGTTGCATAATTTACTGTAGTAACTCCGTAAGGTTTAGTTTCATATACAATAAGTTAGTAAATTTTGCTACCATAATAAGTATGCTATTTTCTACTACGAAAAGTAACTACAGTGTTGATGCTTTGGGTTCATACCTAAATACTTTGGGAAAGAATCATACCCACACTTGGACACTGGTAAAATCTAAAATGATTAGACATTGTGCTTTTTACTACTTATTTCTGTTCCAGAGATAGAACCATCTGACTGACAGACAGCCAGCAGAAACTACCATTTTGATAGGGATCCCTAAAAAGCACTTAAGAGTACACATGATGCTCTTTGGCATGCTCCATCATCTTTTGTATTTGAAAGACCCCCCAAACTAGCGTCTTTCGAGTAAACGACAGGCCAACGCTGGCTGGATTGTATTGTACTTGTTCGCAAAAACACGTTGAACTAGTGATCAAGACTTTCTTACCCACTAACACTAACTAACCTGTCAAAAAATCTGCCGTCACAGAATACCATTGCCGTCCACACAGAAACTATCGACTGACGCAAACTTGCTCGACATCAACGCCAAGATCCGCGTCGAGAAGCCGGTGAAAGACATCCACTCGTTCTGTGGCACCTGCATCAGAATGGATGAGGAGGTTTGCGACTCTCTCGAAATAGAGAACACGTTGTGGAGTGGATGCGTCGTTGCTTCCGGGCAACCCACTGGCCTCATCATATACACAGGTTCGTAATGTTTATATCGTACCTACAATTAAACGGGTTTGAAGTTTGAAAACCACTTAATTTGGGGCTTGTGGGGAGGGTAAGCCGCGTTTTGATTGGTCACCTCACTGTGACGTCGGAAGACAAATTTGGTAAAACAATTTATCACGACGTTTGGGGGCGTGTCACACGTTAATGCAGTATTAAATAGGCTTATAAACGGGTGCCATTGTATGCGCTTTCTAACAGGATTATCAGCTATGGGGCCAAGTTCATACGCTCGTAGTGTTACACGCTGCAGCAAAGTGAACTACCTGAGATACCTTCGTATTTTTAAGTAAAAAGGGTGGCATCAATTATATTGCCGGTGGAACCTTCTTAGTCTTAACCTCTATGCATATTTTTGCTGTAAAACCTAATTTTCACATTTTTGACGGCTTAGGAGGGTTTCCACATAAACTAATAAAGTTTCGAAAGCGGATTTTCCTAGTCAGGCGCTCGAATTAGGTTGAAAAATTCTCTATGCATATCCCTCTCTTATTGTGGTCGGCAATTATGTAGCCTATTTCATTTGTGATAACATATACATTCGCTTGCAGGCAGTGAAACCCGCAGCGTGATGAACAACGACACGCCGCGTTCTAAAGTAGGCCGTCTCGACTTGCAAGTGAACAACCTTACTAAAGTTCTGTTTGTGGCCACAATGTTCACTTCTATACTGCTCATTGTGCTGAAAGGTTTCAACGGCCCTTGGTTCGGGTTCTTCTTCAGATTCGTGCTGCTGTTCTCTTATATCATACCCATCAGGTAAATATAAGTTTAATGAACAACCAAGTATGGAAAATCTAAATATGTATGTTTATTGTTTTAAACATTCATGGTCACTGACATTACGGTAATTTATGTTATTTATCGGATTGTTACCATGTACCTTGTTTTAGCGAGTTTCCGATATCTGTTATTAGCAGAAATATCGGTCTACCCTTTTTTATTGCGTTCGATCATTCGATTCGAAACTGTTCTCGACACACAACACACACAGTATCGGATCGCGACACGACACTTTTTTGATTATTCCGGTTTTTACACATACATACATACCGCAGGATGCCGGATACTCGACAATTTAAACCCGTCCTCATTATTGAAATATTTATGTTTTGTTATTTTAATCGCTTCCCTAATGTTCCGCGATGTCTGATTTCTGCGTATCGTTGTTCTTGATTGCTTTTATGTGTTCCCTCATTCGGCACGCTATAGTCCATCTCATAGGTGAAGTTAATTTGGGAATGGATACCATTTAACAGCCCTTGCTGAGTTTCTTGCTGGTTCTTCTGAGTACAAGGTCTCTTAAGCTTCTCGACTTTCACAAGTGCTTGTAACAGCCTTGATTGCAATGATTTTTGATTGATTGATAGGTAGAATTTTTCTTACATATTTCAAATTTTTGCAGCTTAAGAGTGAACCTGGAAATGGGTAAGACGTTCTACTGCTGGAACATACAACGGGACAAGAAAATCGAAGGTACAGTGATGCGATCCACCACGATACCTGAAGAGTTGGGCAGGATCCAGTACTTACTGGCCGATAAGACGGGCACTTTGACCAAGAACGAGATGGTGTTCCAGAAACTACACCTGGGAAACGCTCTGTTCGACAAGAATAACTTTTACGAGGTACGGGCTTGTGGATGTAGGAAGAATCTTTGTTGTTACTTCTGTGATTTTGACCTTTTTTATGTTAAAAGGGTGGTTAAATATACATGGTGTTACAAAAATACAAAGAAAGCTTGAAGGGCGTTGAAGTACATCATATAAGGAGTCTTCTCTAATTTTCTTAAAATATTTGCATGAAGTTTTAACTTTTTATAAAACAGTTATTTTTAATGATCCTCGAACTAGTGACTTGTCTTAAAATTATCGATATTTTTATTAATCATTAAAAAGAACTGTTTTTATAAAAAAATAAAACTTCATGCAAATATTTTAAGAAAATTAGAGAAGACTCCTTATATGATATACTCCAACGCCCTTCAAGCTTTATTTATATTTTTGTAACACCCTGTATTAAATATAAATAAATATTTAAAAATATTCCAACACACACCAATCAGCCTAGCCCCAAAGTAAGCACGTGGTATGGGATACTAGGGTAACGGATAGAATACATATACTGATACATATATAAGTATATTTATATAGAAATACATATCATATAGGGCCGCGGAAGTATAATGGTCAGGACACCGGTCCGGATAGCGGACGGTACGGGTTCGAATCCCGTCTGCTGCCTGGCCCGCGTGGAACTTTTTCTAGTAAAAAAATCTTTAGATTAAAACACCTAGCAGTGGAATGTTTAAAAAATAAAAATATTATCAAACTTATTTTTACTTATCACTGGCTTTCATTATAGGTGGAAGCACTTTTAACGCAGTACGTGACGAACGACGGCCCTTCGCTGCCCACATCGCCTATAGGTGAAGGCAGCGGCAGTATTTACGCCATGTCGTCTATGGGTGAAGGCAGCGGCAGTATTGTGGCGGCCACACCGCGGCAGGTGTGGCAGTGCGTGCTGGCAGTAGCCTTATGTCATAATGTTACGCCAGCATATGAAATGGACGAGAGACCGATCGAGGAATCGTACTCAGGTTAGTACATATATTATGTCGGCACTTCGTTTGGATATTTATTTAAACTTCATTGCCAAACATAAGGTCTATATTCTTCGGCATATAGAAAATAAATACAATATAGAAGTCGAAAAATTTCACGAGCTTGCATTTCGAACTGTCATAACTCTTTGTCGCATGCCTTTTAATGAAGACCTTTACGGGTTGCATTAAAGGTGACTTTCAATGTTTTAATGATGCTTTATATTGTTTTTGACTACGCGATCATCTTATGGAGCTTTGCGGATCGTCGAATATACCTTTTGGACAGGTCTCGGGCACGATTTTGTTTATGGTGGTACATTTTGAACCCGTTGCAAAGTAATTTTATTTATAGAACTCGCGGCAGCCCGTGATTTCGTACGCGTGGAGTTAGTTATTCGTTTTTACAGAATGCGTTGAAGAAATAAAGGTTCACTGCTCGTTGATCCCCGTAGGTGATAGCGTGATATTATGTAGCCTATATCTTGACCCGACTTCTTAATAATAGTACTTTTTGAGTTTATCCCGGACATACAAACAGACAAAAAATTTAAAAACTATATTTTTGGCTTCGCTATCGATTGTAGATCACACCCCAAGTATTCTTTAAAAAAATATTCAATGTACTGTTTTGACTTTCCTACCATTTTATTACATGTATAGATGTATGAGTGTTAACAAGGATTGTTTGGATCAGATATGGCTAGTTCTGTGGTGTCGGAAAGCTGCGGTGGGGCGGTGCCTCAGCAGCAACTGTGCGACTACCAAGCCTCCAGCCCCGACGAGGTGGCGCTCGTCAAGTGGACCGATATGGTGATTATATCTATCTGGCGAACAAAACGGTGTAATAACGCATCTGGTCAAACTACTTTTGTTTTACTGTCCAGAGGTTTCGGGCCCATTGAATTTGAATTTCAAATAATTTTCAATCAAAACCGCCTTAAACAGTGTTAAAATTACTAAATTTATAAATTAAAAACCATGCCAAAAGTCATGTTTCTCATTCAGTTCAGCAGAAATTATACTATAAATTTATCCCGAACGTAAAAAAGTTAATAATTTGACCTTCAGTTGATTACATAGCATACACAAAGTTTACGTCACACAGTAGACGTCATCGGACCGAGCGTTTTGGCGGTAAATTCAAAACCATTAAAAATAAATTCAACTTTGATTGGTCGAACGGAGAAAAAAGACATTAATTAATTTATTTTTATTTTTCCGCCATTTTGGAAAATGTCCGCCGCCTATAATTCAGTAGATAAAATTTGTGTCACTGATGAAATCATTTATAGCGGCTTGCTTCCTGCATAAAGTGCAGTTTCATTTCACTAAATGAAAGTATTTCCTCCTCTAAAATTCTTAAACTTGCGTTCTTGTCGTCAGATGGGCGTGTCGTTATACAGGCGTGACTTGCACAACATCTCTTTGAAGTTGCGAGCCGCCAACGAGATCATGCAATTCAAGATTCTTCAAATATTCCCGTTCACCAGCGAGAGCAAAATGATGGGTATCATTGTCCAGGTAAGTTCTGCGAGCGGAGGAATGAGTGTTAGGAACATTTACCGGTTGGCGCCGTGACAAGGGGTCTTTTGTATGAAGTTTTTGGCGTGAATTATTCAAACGGGCTTTAAGTTGATCCAAAGACATACGTTATTGTACCACTTGGCGCCCATCATTCCAGAAAAGCCTCATTTAATGAGTTTAGTGTAACAAAAAATTAGTAATTTCAAGATTTGTATAAGAAAAAAAAACATAAACAATGATGCCAGAATTTCCAGAGAAATATTTTCGCGGCAACTAAAAAAATAATTGATGGTTTACTTTTTTTACTGAAATACACATTATAATGATGAATATGGAGAGAAACATTAGTAAATAACATGAAATCGTTTTCTAAAACTTGTCATGCCGGCACTATATTTGACGACCTCCGTGGTTGAGTGGTTTGCACGTTTCATGGCGTCGCCGACTCGAGAGGTCCCGAGTTCAGATGCAGATGATGAGGTGGGGGCAGATATTGGTGAATACGAGCATTGGTACTCCAGTCATGGATGTTTAATATGTATTTCTATATAAATATACTTATATATTTACTGTATATGTATTCTGTCCGTTACCCTAGTATCCCATAACATAAGCCCTACAGTGCTTACTTTGGGGCTAGGCTAATTGGTGTGAGTGTTGGATTTTTTTTTTATTTATATTTGTCTATTCGTGTTTGCTATTTGTAAACTTGACATCAGTCTATCTTTCCTTTTAAAGCATGAAGGACAGTGTTGTTAACCTTACAAATACGCATAGCCAAGTGAAGTGGCGGCACCAAATAGCCTATTGAGAAACTTTGATAGATATTATGGTTGTAGTTACTTATCTTTACGTATACGCAGGAGGAGAACACACAAGTGATCACGTACTACGTAAAAGGCGCGGACGTGGCGCTGGCGAGGTTGTTAGATTCGCCGTGGCTGAATACAGAGTGCCAGAAACTGGCCGCCGATGGGCTGCGGACACTGGTCGTCGCCATGAAGACATTAACCAAGAACGAGTACCTGGAGTTTGAGGTGACTATCTTTACGAAACATGGGACGGGACAACCGGTATAATTAATCCGGCAGCGCTGACATGATATTGCGAAAAAGTGCGGCTAAATGTTTAAATTTTTAATTGGCTAAAAATTTCCTAACGCAGGATTAATTTACTTAGAAAACTGGTGGGGTGTCTATAGCGATAGGCGTTGAATTAACGAACGGTTTAAATAGACGGTCTACGTTCAATCGACGCTTCGACGGTCTACAGTTCATTCGTTAACTAGTTGAATTCATAGACGGCTAAACTGAGAGTCCACAGCGTTCATATCTACTAACAACGCAACGACGACGCGTAAACGTATCCGGTTTACCGGTTACAAGTTCATACGTTCGTTCATTAATTGAAATAAATCAATTTGAAACTCCATATGGCGTGGGAGTTGATATATGTTCGTTTTTTAAACTAGAGTTGTTAGAGTGAAAAGGCAAGAGTATTCTGATATTGCGTGAAAGAGTACGTCGATGGATCTGATATAATAATTGTTTACCTCAAGTAGTTGTACAATTACGCCGTGATGTGGCATCATTAAGCGCATTCTACCGACTATACCACGGCGAGTGTTCTGAGGAGCTATTCTCGCTTATCCCTCCATCACCTTTTCTTCAGAGGACCACGCGCGCTGGTCTACGTTGCTACCGACTTACTGTGGCCACTATTCCTACATGAACAAAGAAATTTGGCGACTCATTTCTTTGTCGTACTATTCGTAAGTGGAATTCTTTGCCCGCGCACGTGTAAGGAACACCCTTCCTACAATCTGGGGTCCTTTAAGAGAGGCGTGAAGAAGCATTTTTGCGGGCCGGCAAGGTGAGGATGGTTGGTGTACCAGCTATCTTCGCGTTTGGACTTTATCACCACTTAACATCAGGTGGGGTAGGGTCATTTGCCTACCTAAATATAAAAAAAAAGTTGTAGTATAATAAACAAATTTATTGATTTTGAAATTAGTGTGTCGCGAGGTCAAGGTCAAGGGACACGTGTTTGCTAATTTAGTGCAAAGTTCGTTTGAATTGAATGTTTATGTTATGAGTTTAATTTGTAATTTATTTGTAGACATTTAAATGACTATATCATAAAGTGAATACCAAAAAAAGACCCCGTCGTCGTCGTTGCGTCGCGCCCGTAGACCAGTCACCGCGTAGTTGATATGAACCCCTCAACGCCTGCCGTTATTACATCAACTAGTTGCTGTTGAATCGACTAGTCGATGGACGGTTGTAGACGGTTTAGTTTCGTCGACGACCCACCTCTAGGTGTCTACCTAAACGTGGGTCTTCAAGAACACCGTTATTATTAATAGAATCTATATTTAAAAACTGAATAAATAAAACATCTTTAGACAGTTATACGTTATTGTAAAAATGAAACCATTGCGCGTTGTATTCCGGTAGCGCGCCATCTATAGCTTTAGGCGCTAACTCTCCTTATGCGAGATTCTGTTAGTTTCTGAACGGCTTTAGTGATATAATTGATATACACTTTGATAGTCCCAGTGCACTAACTTCAACCATTAGTAGAAACTTGATGGACTGAGTTCCTAAGATGTTTATATTTAATTTTAGCTGCTTTAGTTTTGTAATGACCCTCTTTTTTAGTCGAAATAACATATAAGTAATTAGGTAAAATTTTAACACTTACTGTTTGATCTCGATATGGTACATGTGGTGTTTACCTATAATTATTTGTAACATTGATATAAGTGTCTCCTTGTCTATAATTGTAATTGCTTAAGTGTTACAATTGTTGGTAAACCTATTAAATAAATAAATAAATAGTGAAGCTATTTGCGAACTATGTATAAGCCGCACACTGGTGTTCTTTCATCATAATATGTAGCGGTGGCGAGGTTGTTGCATTCGTCATAACTGAACACCGAGTGCCGGTAACTTCGTTTAAAGGTCAAGAACCTATGTTGGTTGTCTTTAAATTAATGAAATTTAATACTGCAGTGCAGCCAACGAAAGAATGCGATCCTGGCAGAATGTGTCAGTTGCTTACGGCGACAGAATAAAGTAAGTACACTTTCGATCTAATAAAAAGAGGTCTGATAATAAACTATTTCTTTCGCCATCAGGAAATGACACAACCTGTCGGGATCGCATTCTTTCTTTGGCCACAACTTTGTGTACAGTGCGACTAAGATATTGTGGCACGAGGGCGAAATTGGAACTAATTTTTGGGAAAGTTATAGAGGAAGATGTAAATAAACCATTTAAAAGTTCCTATTAATTTTGCGAGTTATTGTAAATTATAATGTTCCCTTTAGTGAGGAGATGTTACGTATTGACTAATCTTAATTTCACCATTAATGGTGCAGCAGTCACCAGCAGCGCCCTCCTGTCAATGTCATCTTAATGCCACGAGATCTTGGTCGCAGTCTATCAATCTTGAACATTAAAATGTCTCCCTCATAGAGTGAGTACAAAGAAGCCCGACTGAGCGTTCAGAATCGCAACGAGAAGACGATGGCCGCTCTAAGCAAGCTGCAGTGCGGACTCACTCTACTTGGGGTCACGGGCGTGGAGGACAGACTAGCTGATAATGTACCCGAGACTTTAGCCAAACTACGCACTGCTGGGGTCAAGGTGAGAACTTAGAAATGTGTGTGTTTTGCTCTACCCTACACAATCAACAAAAACATTTCAACATTCAACAAAATCATTTACACAAAACTTTGTTTCACTACACGTATTTGTTTGCATCAACTATGTTTTTGCTTTCCGAACCCGCACACAAACCCCACCCTCGCACGGGTTGAGGGGCAGGGTATTGTTTCATCGGCCATTTTAAGGGTACCGTAGCCAAATGGCAAAAAACCTAACCCTATAGATTCTTCATGTCTGTCTGTTGGTTTTATAAGATATCGAAGTAGTATGTACGAAATAACATTTTGTTATTTGTAACTTTATTTCTTTGTGACGTAGTTTGTATTAGGTTCAACTTAAACTGTTTTAAAAAAAATGTCTCTGTTCATTAGGAATCGAATGTAGCTGCATAAGTATATACTCACGCGGACAGTTTTTAGTAGCATTAAATGAGGACCTTTAGGTCACCCGAAACACGACGAGACGTGACGTTGCGCGCACATTTTAATGGAGTGATTCAAAATATTATTTACTTACTTCACACTTCATTGTTTGAATTCAGAATACGCGTTGGCTGTATGATGCGATAATGTATTGTCAATTTGATGCGGATGTTTCTCAAATCAGTCTCACCCCCCTTTTACTAAAGGAGGAATAAGTTTAGACTAGTTACGCCGCGTTTTGTTCATATCACTCAAATGTGATCTGTAATTCAATAAACAGAGACAAAACATGAAGTAACTAACCCAAGCTAATTCTTCGTTTATTAATAAGGGGGGCTTTGTCTGTAGTTAAAATATGTAATTTGCGGTCAGATCTGGATGCTGACGGGCGACAAGTTAGAGACGGCACTATGCATCGCCCGCTCCCTCCACTTGGGCGGTGGCGGCAGTTGGTTCACGGCGCCGTCGTGCCGCACGAGACGCGACGCGCACGCGTTACTGCAGGCGCTGCCGCAGCTCGCCGCCGGCACCGACCTCATCGTGGAGGGGGACGCGCTGCAGGTGAGGCTCCCTCCATGTACGCGGCGGCGGCAGTTGATTCGCAGCGCCGTCGGGCCGCACGAGAAGCGACGCGCACGTGTTCCTGCAGGAGCTACTGCAGCTCGCCGCCGGCACCGACCTCATCGTGGAGGGGGACGCGCTGCAGGTGAGGCTCCCTCCATGTACGCGGCGGCGGCAGTTGATTCGCAGCGCCGTCGGGCCGCACGAGAAGCGACGCGCACGTGTTCCTGCAGGAGCTACTGCAGCTCGCCGCCGGCACCGACCTCATCGTGGAGAGGGACGCGCTGCAGGTGAGGCTCCCTCCATGTACGCGGCGGCGGCAGTTGATTCGCAGCGCCGTCGGGCCGCACGAGAAGCGACGCGCACGTGTTCCTGCAGGAGCTACTGCAGCTCGCCGCCGGCACCGACCTCATCGTGGAGAGGGACGCGCTGCAGGTGAGGCTCCCTCCATGTACGCGGCGGCGGCAGTTGATTCGCAGCGCCGTCGGGCCGCACGAGAAGCGACGCGCACGTGTTCCTGCAGGAGCTACTGCAGCTCGCCGCCGGCACCGACCTCATCGTGGAGGGGAACGCGCTGCAGGTGAGGCTCCCTCCATGTAAGCGGCGGCGGCAGTTGATTCGCAGCGCCGTCGGGCCGCACGAGAAGCGACGCGCACGTGTTCCTGCAGGAGCTACTGCAGCTCGCCGCCGGCACCGACCTCATCGTGGAGGGAGACGCGCTGCAGGTGAGGCTCCCCCTATGTACGCGGTGGCGGCAGTTGGTTCACGGCGCCGTCGTACCGCACGAGACGCGACGCGCACGCGTTACTGCAGGCGCTGCTGCAGGTCGCCGCCGGCACCGACCTCATCGTGGAGGGGGACGCGCCTATACTTTGTGCCGAACCAGCGCCGACAAGTTTCAACCTGCTCCGATAAAGGTACGTATCGTAATTAATATCAAGAAAACAACGTAAGTTAAATCTAGATTCATGTATTTTGAGACGGGTATTGTTTATTGTTTACCGATGAGTCACCGATGACACTAATCGTAACGCTTATGCGTAACACATTCGCCAGTTTACCCCCCCAAGGCAAGCGTGCCCAAAGAAGTTTCAGTTCAAAATTAATTTGAAATTAAATTACTTATATCACACAGATGTGCCTCCAACTGGATGAAGACGCGATGGTGTCAGTATTACGCGCGTGCAGCGGCGTAGTAGTCGCGCGCTGCTCGCCCACGCAGAAGGCGCAAGTGGCGCGGCTGCTGCGGGCGCGGGACCTCGTGGTAGCGGCCGTGGGGGACGGAGGGAACGATGTGGCCATGATACAGGAGGCCGATATTGGTGAGTCTTGACGTGGAGAAAGGGAGATTTTTGCAGTTTTAAGTGAATTGCCCTTTCAAATCTCAGAACACTCGCATTAGAATCGGCATTACTCGATTTTTGTTTGAAATCGAAATCGCCGAAGTCGGCTGTGAGTGGAAAGGTTAAGCAGCGTTTTGAAAAGTTTTCAAAAATATGAATGCTTTATAATCCTAACATTACCACCAAAACGTGATATAATAATGAGGAAACTAAAATAATTATAGTGTAATTTATTCGTTCGCGAGCCTGGCGCGCGGAGGGCAAGGCGGCCACGCTGGTGGGGGACGTGAGCGTGCGTTCGTTCGCGAGCCTGGCTCGCCTGCTGCTGGTGTGTTATATATATATAGATGAATGTGTGTCTGTATGCTGCATCGATAGGTGTGGGCATAGAAGGCGCGGAGGGCAAGGCGGCCACGCTGGCCGGGGACGTGAGCGTGCGTTCGTTCGCGAGCCTGGCTCGCCTGCTGCTGGTGTGTTATATATATATATATGAATGTGTGTCTGTATGCTGCATCGATAGGTGTGGGCATAGAAGGCGCGGAGGGCAAGGCGGCCACGCTGGCGGGGGACGTGAGCGTGCGTTCGTTCGCGAGCCTGGCTCGCCTGCTGCTGGTGTGTTATATATATATAGATGAATGTGTGTCTGTATGCTGCATCGATAGGTGTGGGCATAGAAGGCGCGGAGGGCAAGGCGGCCACGCTGGCGGGGGACGTCAGCGTGCGTTCGTTCGCGAGTCTGGCTCGCCTGCTGCTGGTGTGTTATATATATATAGATGAATGTGTGTCTGTATGCTGCATCGATAGGTGTGGGCATAGAAGGCGCGGAGGGCAAGGCGGCCACGCTGGCGGGGGACGTGAGCGTGCGTTCGTTCGCGAGCCTGGCTCGCCTGCTGCTGGTGTGTTATATATATATAGATGAATGTGTGTCTGTATGCTGCATCGATAGGTGTGGGCATAGAAGGCGCGGAGGGCAAGGCGGCCACGCTGGCGGGGGACGTGAGCGTGCGTTCGTTCGCGAGCCTGGCTCGCCTGCTGCTGGTGTGTTATATATATATAGATGAATGTGTGTCTGTATGCTGCATCGATAGGTGTGGGCATAGAAGGCGCGGAGGGCAAGGCGGCCACGCTGGCGGGGGACGTGAGCGTGCGTTCGTTCGCGAGCCTGGCTCGCCTGCTGCTGGTGTGTTATATATATATAGATGAATGTGTGTCTGTATGCTGCATCGATAGGTGTGGGCATAGAAGGCGCGGAGGGCAAGGCGGCCACGCTGGCGGGGGACGTGAGCGTGCGTTCGTTCGCGAGCCTGGCTCGCCTGCTGCTGGTGTGTTATATATATATAGATGAATGTGTGTCTGTATGCTGCATCGATAGGTGTGGGCATAGAAGGCGCGGAGGGCAAGGCGGCCACGCTGGCCGGGGACGTGAGCGTGCGTTCGTTCGCGAGCCTGGCTCGCCTGCTGCTGGTGTGTTATATATATATATATGAATGTGTGTCTGTATGCTGCATCGATAGGTGTGGGCATAGAAGGCGCGGAGGGCAAGGCGGCCACGCTGGCGGGGGACGTGAGCGTGCGTTCGTTCGCGAGCCTGGCTCGCCTGCTGCTGGTGTGTTATATATATATAGATGAATGTGTGTCTGTATGCTGCATCGATAGGTGTGGGCATAGAAGGCGCGGAGGGCAAGGCGGCCACGCTGGCGGGGGACGTCAGCGTGCGTTCGTTCGCGAGTCTGGCTCGCCTGCTGCTGGTGTGTTATATATATATAGATGAATGTGTGTCTGTATGCTGCATCGATAGGTGTGGGCATAGAAGGCGCGGAGGGCAAGGCGGCCACGCTGGCGGGGGACGTGAGCGTGCGTTCGTTCGCGAGCCTGGCTCGCCTGCTGCTGGTGTGTTATATATATATAGATGAATGTGTGTCTGTATGCTGCATCGATAGGTGTGGGCATAGAAGGCGCGGAGGGCAAGGCGGCCACGCTGGCGGGGGACGTGAGCGTGCGTTCGTTCGCGAGCCTGGCTCGCCTGCTGCTGGTGTGTTATATATATATAGATGAATGTGTGTCTGTATGCTGCATCGATAGGTGTGGGCATAGAAGGCGCGGAGGGCAAGGCGGCCACGCTGGCGGGGGACGTGAGCGTGCGTTCGTTCGCGAGCCTGGCTCGCCTGCTGCTGGTGTGTTATATATATATAGATGAATGTGTGTCTGTATGCTGCATCGATAGGTGTGGGCATAGAAGGCGCGGAGGGCAAGGCGGCCACGCTGGCGGGGGACGTGAGCGTGCGTTCGTTCGCGAGCCTGGCTCGCCTGCTGCTGGTGCACGGGCGGCGCTCGTTCATGCGCTCGGCCGCGCTCTGCCTGTTCATCGTGCACCGCGGACTCATTGTCTCCACCATGCAGGTACCCGTAGTCAGATTTTTAAGACACTTTGAAACAGCGTTGTCAGATTTTGTTTTTGCCAAGTCGGGATTTAGGAATTTTTTGAGTGAATAAAGCGGGATTATTTCGTCGAAAGTGGGATATAGTAATAAAAACGTATATCATCAAAAGTTTTTTAATGTTTGAAGATGTCGCAGTCGCACGCACTCCTCTCTCCCGCGCGCGCACTTATCTTCATTACGCGCCGGGCAGGCAGGTCATACTTGAAATACCAGAGCATGACAACACTTAGATTTTTGTGATGACAAGAAATATACTGTTCTTGAATCATGGTCAATATTATACTTTTTAATGTATAATATCCATTCATTTCTCCCTATTCCATCCATAGGGAAGGCCTGTGCCCCAGCAGTGGGGACATTAATAGGCTGATGATGATCCATTCAGGGCTGGATTTAAGGCAGAGCAGCCGAGGCTGTAGTCCAAGGGCTTCCATAATACATTGTTCTGGAGTCATAGTCAATTAATATTTTTCTATGTATTATATTCAAGACCGAATTTAAGGCAGTTCAGGCGGGGCTGTACCCTCAGTTGGCTGGTCCTTCTACTAGAGTGCGCCCCCCCCCCCCCCACAACATATAAAAAAACCAAAATTTTTCACGTCAACTCCACTAGGGGATCAAATTGTAAGTGGTCTCGGATGCCAGATCTTAAAATACGGGCCTCCATACCTCTAAATATAGCCTTGTGTCAATTATTCACTAGTTTCTTAATTTAAAATTTTGCTCAGTCTATAACTGAATAATTGGCGTGAGTTGGCTAAAATATTCAGTACATTAACGTTTTCTCCACAGGCCGTGTTCTCCGTAGTGTTTTACTTCTCTTCAGTGTCCCTGTACCCTGGATTTCTCATGGTCGGCTATGGAACTGTTTACACCGTGTTGCCTGTATTCTCTTTGGTAAATATATGACTACTCTCACACTCATACACCATATTGCCTCACAATAACACATGTGGGTAGTTATCTTATATCTGTACAAACAGTTCGGTCGATCTGTTATTTGTTTTAAATATGCAGTAGGTCATGATCTTTTTCGAAAATCCAATTCCCAGTCAAAAAACTGGTTTCGGATCGACCAAGATAGTTTTTTTTTTATAGGGAGGTAGACAAATGACTCTATCCCACCTGATGTTAAGTGGTGATAAAGTCCAAACGCGAAGATAGCTGGAACATCAGTTATAAACTGCTTCACCAACCATCCTCACCTTACAGGCCTGCAAAAATGCTTCTTCACGCCTCTCTAGAGCTCGATGGCGCGGGTGGTTAGCGCATTCGGCTGCGATCGTTGAAGTTAAGCAACTTTTACAATGTTCGGTCATTGGATGGGTGACCAAAAAATCTTCTATCTCGAGATCCTCCGTGCTTCGGAAGGCACGATAAGCCGTTGGCCCCGGTTGCATCTGCAGTTGTTAGCACCCGCCAATCCGCACTGGGCCCGCGTGGCCCAATCTCCCCATTCCACCCATAGGGAAGGCCTGTGCCCCAGCAGTGGGGACAATAATAGGTTGATGATGACGCCTCTCTTAATGGACCCCAGATTGTAGGTTGTATGTATATCATAAACTATTCAGGTGCTCGACAAGGATATATCAAGTGCAACTGCCCTTCGGTATCCGCAACTGTATAAGCAGCTGACGAATGGCAGGCAGCTCTCATACAAGACGTTTTATATCTGGACTGGCATATCAATTTATCAAGGTATGTTATTTACAATACTTTTGGCCTGTATTTAAATATATTGTTTTAAACTTTCATGGTCACTAGCATTATAGAAATTTATGTTATTTACGGGATAAAACTACACGGGATAACAAGGTACATGGTAACAATCTCGTAAATAACATAATTTATATAGTATTAAATATGTATAATCGTCGTATATAAGTAGCACAGCCTTCCTTAATTATAATAATAATTAAACTAATAAGAACATGATTGCTATACGCATTTTTGGCAAGTAATTGAGTAAATAGCGAACCCCCTTTTTATTATTTACCAAATATGGGCTATTATAAATCACACTAATATTATAAAGGCGAAAGTTTGCGAGTGTGTGAATGTGTATGTTTGTTACTTCTTCACGTCCAAACGGCTAGAGCGATTTTAATAAAATTTGGATGGAGTAAGCTGACAACCTGGATTAACACATAGGCTACGTTTTACTGCGGGAAAATATCCCTAATAAACCGTGGGTAACACCGCGGGGCACAGCTAGTTGTGAATAAATCAACGATCAGGAACATGTTCTTGATCATGATTATATTGATTATACTGACTTCGCAACTAGCTCAACTTCATACTACTTCGGACATAACATCATAATATTAATCAAACTTTAAGCTAGGTTTCGGGTACGAAAGATCATTAAAAAACTGGACAAGCACGAGCTTCGCTCTATTTGGGTTCCGTAAAATCGTTTGTTCATTTTTGTCACAGCTAAAAATTTACGGTTTTCTCAATTTCATCTGTACTATAAGACGTTACTTCGTACCAAATTTCAAGATTCTAAGTTCACGGGATGTACCCTGTAGTTTTTGATTTCCTTGCGAGTTTCAAAAATTTGCGGTATAAACGGCGGCTATCTTTTGATTGCTTTGGCTTAGAAGTTTGATTTTTTCACAGCTCCAAGGGACAGTAGACCTGAGTATTAGATATGAATTTCAGTTTGATACCTCCACGCGTTCCTGAGAAAAACGGTCTTGACAGACGGACTGACGGACAACAACGTGATCCTATAAGTGTTCCGTTTTTTTCCTTTTGACGTCCGGAACCCTAAAAATCCGCGCTTAGGCTCTCCTACTATCAGTGTTGGATATGTCGGTGGTCTTAACACGCTAATGACACGTCACCAGGTGGCGTGATAATGTACGGCGCGCTGGTGCTATTCGAAGATCAGCTGATCCACATCGTGGAGATCAGCTACACAGCGCTCATACTCACGGAGCTGATCATGGTGGCGCTCACCGTGGCCACGTGGCACCGCCTCATGGCCGCCGCTGAGCTAGTCAGTCTGCTCACCTACACTGCCACGCTGCTCATATTCACATCGTACTTCGGTGAGTATTGTATTATCAGCCTATTTATGTGCCCACGGCTAAAGCACAGTTCTTATGGATAAAATAGGGCGATTGGGATATGATTTACTACGCAGGACCTGTAGGCACTTACACTGCCACGCTGCTCATATTCACCTCGTACTTCGGTGAGTGTTATATCATCAGCCTGTTTATGTGCCCACGGCTAAAGCACAGGTCTTATGGATCAAATTGGGCGATTGGGATATGATTTACTACGCAGGACCTCTTGGCACTTACACTGCCACGCTGCTCATATTCAACTCGTACTTCGGTGAGTGATGTATTATCAGCCTATTTATGTGCCCACGGCTAAAGCACAGGCCTTATGGATAAAATAGGGCGATTGGGATTTGATTTACTACGCAGGACCTCTTGGCACTTACCGGCAGGACCCATATACACCGTGAATTTTGAGTTACCTGAGAAACTTTACTAGCTAATTCAGACAAAAATTTGGGTTATTTAACCGCAACAAAATGTTTTTCGGAAATTTATATATTTCGAAGTGTAATTATGCAACCTTAACAAAAATCGATTTAAATAAATCTGTTTTTTAAATCTATGTACTTTAAACGGACAATAATTCCATAACAGATATGTTAATAATTACTGCAGCGTTTTAGGATATTTGGTAAACGATATAAATCAATATTTTTTGTATGGGGGTGCGGTACGTTTACTGTTTGTAACTGTTCGCGACAGTTTTATTTTCTTGATTTTCAAGTTTCTCAGATATCTTAAAATTTACGGTGTATAGACATTTGATACCTATATTTAACCTGTATTTGGAGGGTGCAAATCATAAATCGCCCGGAGCACCCAATTTTAGAATTTACGCCCCTGTAAATATTTCTTAGAGTGAATTCGAAAAACGAGTTAGAAAATGCTACAGATTAGCGATCTCTATAAATTACAGGAAACAAAGATCTTTCTTTTTTCTAAAAACCAGAATACAGCAGATACAATACGCGCCACGAAAGATAAACTTGACGCGCCACGTGGTTCGACATGCGCAGTAGACGATTGAAAGGGCTCTTAACTCTTGATAAACGGCCCGCGCGCCTAAAAAAAAAAGGTCAGTCCCGCTACCTGACACCGTTTTTTGCTGCGCTAAACACTTAGGCCTTTGTTTTGTTCTCACGACCAAATGTTTATACTTACAGGGACTTGAGTTACATTTCTGGGAAGAATATGAATCAGGCTATCAACTTACGACTAATTGAAATGTTTATGACGTGTTTGTTTTTTTTTATCGTCGTTCGAGGCGGCCTTTGCTAGAATAATGCGCCTGCTTGTAATAAAATGTGATTCTTAGATACAAGTTGAAAAAAAAACGTTGAACAAATGTATATTTTTAGAAACTAGATGAAAAATCCTTTCAGACAATAGCAAAACATAAATAGGTTCCCATATAAAAAAAATAACAAGTATGCGTTTGAATTATCGCCCGCGCGGTTTTATAAATTACCCTCGGCGTAAACTTGTAAATTTTACTGTGATGATAATATTGTTGCTAGCGATCTAGTTTTTCTTATAATATTTATGTACAGTCTAAAGATAATATATTTAATTTCTTTTTTCCAAATCTCTAAAATATCTAGTACTAAACTAAGGTTGCGCTAGATTTGCGATTGTGAATTTTGTGATTATATAAATTTATTTTGTAAAACACCATTGCATAGGCTATAAAATTAGCTTTCTATTGGTATAAAAATCAAATAGGCTTCTCATAGAAAAAAAACGTAACAATACGTTCTGTATATCAAGTGCGCAGTTGAGTCGACGTGACGTCATTCGAACTCTCATGACCTTTTGAACTCCGAACGGCACTCGCAAATCGTCAATAAACTTTATTGCAATTCGATTAGAGCGCATATTAGGATGCACTGTAAAGTACTTATCCGTGCAATCAGATTTTAGTCGAAAAACGATATAAAGCTAAACAATTATCCAAAATTATATATAATTGTACATTCTCTGATAAATTATCATTACTGTTATTGAGCTATTCCATCGTTTTTATAGTTTTGTAAGTAATACGGTACGAACGAAGTTTCGGAGCTCGATTTATTGATAAAACTTGACGCAAAATTTAAAAACCATATTTCTAATACATTCCTAATAAAATTATCTTTCAGAAAATGTATGGTTTTTATAGGTTTTCATGAATATATCATGTAATAATCACTCATAGAAAAACCTCTAACAGCGCGGTAATACAACGTAACCGACCGAACGTATTGTGAAATGTTTTATGTAAATAATACGACACGGAACACTGTTCTAAACGTTTGTAAATAATAAAAACACTATAAATAAGAGAAATAAAACACTTAACTTACGTTTTTTGTTAAAAATCCGTTAAAAACCACACAAAAACTTTCACAACACGGCACACACACAACTGCGCACAACACAACTGACAGCAAAATGGCGCGAAATATTTTACCGTGCGTTGACACTTGTGATTGTGGTCTCTTTATTCACTGTGTGTCTTGTGATTGGATATTAGTCAGTAGCTCTTTAACTTATCTGTGTTATACCGAAAACCGTATACGAAAATACGTCTTAGAACAGAAGTTATAAGGAAGAGAGTCGAGAGCATCATATGATGCTAACGGTCGAGCATCTTAAGATGCTAGCGGTCGTCGACGGGTGTGTAAGCGCGCGCATCTTAAGATGCTTACGGTATTTCGGGAGTTAAGCGGTATGAGGTCTGAGGGGGAACGAACCGGGTGCCATCGGGAAGGCGGAAAGAGCATGGGAGGCGCGCCCATAGAGGTATAAGAATAGAGTAGAGGAGATATAGACACTACAAGTGGAAGTGTCCCTCTAAATAAATAATAATATTAAATATTTCCAACACTCACACCAAATAGTCTAGCCCCAAAGTAAGCACGGTAAGGCTTGTGTTATGGAAAGCTAGGGTAACGGATAGAATACATGTACCATCCATATATAAGTATACTTATATAGAAATACATATTAAACATCCATGACTGTAGTACAAATGCTCGTATTCATCACACAAACATCTGCCCCCACCGGGATTCGAACCCGGGGCCTCTTGTGTCGGCGACACCATGAAACCCGGCGTACAAACCACTCGGCCACGGAGGTCGTCAAAATAGAAAGAGAAAGAAGATGAGATACCGCTAGCTTTCTCTCTCTAATCGCGCATGCATACGGCATTGGCAACCGTAAGCATCTTACTATTTCGATGTGATGCTTGGGCCATTGGACAAACGACTGCGCATGCGTCACAAGAGAGAGAGATAGCTAGCGGTCTCTCATCTTCTTTCTATTTTTACTAGACGGACACTTTTAGAGTCGCCTTCCCCACTCTATTTTTATACCTCTAAGGGCGCGGCACGGCGCTCGTCAAGTCTCATCTTTCGTGGCGCGTACTGTACCAAATTCTATTTATAAATGTTGATGAATCAAACTAAATAACATTTCTTCATCGCCACTTCTAGATGCTGATTTCTTAAAACAATGGGACTTCTGGTGGAAAGTAACGGTAATAACTGTGGTATCGTGCCTCCCCCTCTACATCGTCAAGTATATGCACAGGAAATGGAGCTTGCGTCAGTACAAAAACATAAACACTCAACAGTGAACAGTGATTCATATCGGCCGCACGTATATATTCATACAACGTTCCGCGATCACAATGTTGCGTGGAATTAGCGTGTGCAGCGCTCTTTGTTTGTTTAAAAGTACATAAATTGGATAAATGTCTTAAAAACGTCATGCAGATTTACAATTTCATGCTGGATATCAATACATTATGTAGGGTGACCGATGTTTGATACATAGTTAAATATGACTATGGTTAGAATATCTTAGTAAAAGTAGCCATTTGTCAAAATTTGGCACATTTTACTATATATTTGAATAGAATAGAATAATTCTTTATTGCAAAACTGTTACATTGACTTGATATAGTTGTTTTTATTGTTGTCAAAGGACATGGTAAAATTTTGTATGAGCGACTACCCTAGCAATGTATAAATATTGTAATAAGTAATATTTAATGCTGAATGGCTGAATGTTCATAATAGCTATGAAAAAAGGCTCAGGAACTTTTGATAAAGTCATAATCTTGAAAATTATGAGAACTCCTACTATGTCATAACCTTGCTACATTTGATAAAAGATGTTGCCAATTATTTACAGAGCCATCAATTGCGCATTTTCTTAGGATCCTTCCTCCCATTTCTCAAGTGTTTTAATGCAAAAATAAATACAAATAATTTGTTGTCATCGGCCTGACAGGAAGTCAGTGAAGTTTTATTTTGGTCATTTGCAAAAATCAAAGAATTAATTATCATACAGCCTTGTCTCAAGCATTATCAGAATAAAAAAAAATGCTATTTTAGGCTTTCAGTGATTTGTTATAATAAAAATTATGGGCAAATATATCATAGTTTTAAAGAGATTGGAATTAATATTGTTTATTTCGATAAACTTAACAAAAATTTTTGGCTACATTTATTGTTCATTTATTTTTGTAAAACGGAACATTTTCCTTTTGAAACAGACATGAAGTCAATTTTCATAATTTTAAATATTTGATTATTTCACGAAAGTTATATGATAAAAATAAACATGTGATAATTAAAAACAAATATAATGTTACGGGATAGTGCGAAATAATTATACACGTTAAGGGCAGTTTCTTAGCCATGTCCTTTAAGTTTAGGTTTAGAGAAATTTCATGCCAAAATCGACACATAGTCACATTTTAACTTTATATCAACGGGCTCTTATTTGTAGCCTTTAAATATTACAATCAAACCATAGATGATTGAAACCGACATTGTCCAATACAAGCAACAAAAGCCGTATTAATTATGAATTTTTGATGCCAGACAAGTCCTGTTGTTATAGCGAGACAGCACATACGCGCAGTAGAGGGGCAGCTCGCTTTAATAACTGTTTATGTTTGGTGCTAAGGCATCATAATAACATTATCTTCTAATGTATAAAATTCTCGTGTCACGGTGTGCGTAATTGAACTACTCCGAAACGGCTAGTCCGATTTTCGTGAAATTTTATATGCATATTCAGTAGGTCTGAGAATCGGACAACATCTATTTTTCATCCCCCTAAATATTAAGGCTGTTTTTTTTTCTTGGACAATCTTTTTTGTTTTTATTTTTTTATGATACATCATACAAAAATACATACAACTCTAAATTTCACCCTTCTACCACCAACCCCTTTTTTATGGCGGTATGAAGTTCGCTGGTGTCCCAGTGCTAGCTGTCGCTAGTAATTTATAATAATTCGAAAAAAAAAATAGGTTTATTTACACCTTCCTCTATAAATTAAAGGCTTATAAATATCTTCTTAAAATTAGTTCAGATTTCGGCCACGCGCCTCAAGACTTTGGTCGCACTGTACGATATAATTTTATTGAGATATAAAATAGTGAACTGAACTGAACGTTGTCGTCTTTTCAAAATATTGTGTTCAGTTAAATAAAAGTTATTGCTTATATTTTTGTTGAAAAAAGAAATGTTTATTATGTGTTCACTTTATGACTCGACATTAAACATAGTATTATAATAACGTTGACCTGTACCCCTAGCACGAACCAATATCGAATTCGTAACATTTTCGAGTCCGAAGTGTCATTGTCAAAAGTGCACTGATTTTTAGTTCGTACGTACTTTGTGGCGCTGCTGTTCAAGTTTTCATACAAAATTTGACATTGACATTTCGCACTCGCAAACTATTCGAATTCGATAATGGTTCGTGCTAGGGGTACAGATATCATTTTCATCAATTAGTCCACAAATCATGTTAAATATTATGGAAATTGGAAGCTGCCTTTTTAATATCTACTTAATGATTATTAATATAAGTATAAAAAGTATGAATGGAGACATCACGTACAAAAGGAAAGCATTTTGTAAACAATGGATTTGTAAGAGAGTAGGTAGGTAGTTTATATATAATTTTAGTTTTAAATACTTATTATAATGTAGTTTAAGGATATATTGTCTGTTTTTGTTGTGTTGAGTTTATCTGATATCCGTAATATTAAATCATGTTTAAGGAGCAACTATTTTTTTATTATTGTTTTTGTAAGATATAAAAAAAAATACTGTGATTTTCAATGGGAGCTAGGAGTGGTACTCGTAAGTATTGCACGGTGCACATTCGCTGTGCACTTAGGAAAATTGTAATTCCGCTTTATTACATTTGTGCTAGACTGAAATGTGTATGATTGATTACAGGAAAATGCGATATTCTTCGAGTACTCTAGATAAAAAAAAATCTTTAATGCATCGACCAATTAAAATTAAACGTATTATTTATTCTATTTACATAACACTAAAATCATTTGCTTCGTCACTAGGTTCGTTTATTTTAGTAAAGAAGTGTTCTGATACATCGAGACAATAACATGCGGGGTAATTTGTTGCGTAAGGCATAGCCCTAATTATTTTTTACTAAATTGGCATCGCATGACTTAAAATTAATGCCAGACCAGCGGCGTAGCGTGGGTGTCGGCCGCCCGGGGCGAAAGACAATTTTGCCGCCCTCTTATTTAAATGTTTGAAATACTTTTATTATTTATTGAAAAATTGTGCCGCCCCCTAAGAAGTGCCGCCCCTGCCGACCCCACTACTCTACGCCACTGTTCCAGACCCTGCTTTAACTAGCTATGGTCGCATTTAATAAGATGGCTAACGGTACATTGTCTTACCGAGACAGGGATTTTGAAATTTAGAATTTTTGAAAACAGGGCCTCGAATTGTCCATTTTGCGTGATGCCTTTCCGCACTCGAATGTCGCTCTGTATAAACCCACCCTTAGATTAACACGGGGCAGTCACATCAAAACTTTATCCATAGCTCGTGTCCACTACCATCGTAATCAATTCATCGTGTTTATCAACAATTCCATAGTATTAAGAGTCATTTTCCATAAGTTAGTTTTTACGAGGTACAAAAGTTTTATAAATGTGATATATATACTTATTTTAAATTATACGAGCATTATTTAATAGGTGTTTATTTAAAAGACGTACCTGGGCTCGAGTTTCTATTCAGGCATAGCTCCACCGGCGCTGCACCTGTATGGAAACTAAAGCTAATCCGATTACTAAATGTGTCACAACATCTGTATTCTTAGATGTGTTATTTATGTTATATAATGACAGTTTTTGAAAAAGTAAAAATAAACCATTATTATGAATCTGTTGTTTTATTTAAATGTAGATTATTGTTTTACCGGTGGTATTCTGGAGTATTTTACATTTCCAAGAGGAAACAGAGAACTGATTTCCACTTTACACAGTCCTGACAGAAACAGTATAAACAGTCGTATTAAGTTAATGAAAATATTTTTTTCAAATCAATATATATATACTTTATTAGATACTTAAAAAGCTTACATAGATCTTAAACAATCAACATGTCTTACACAATAAAAATTGACGAAATCCTAATGTAAAGTGTTAATCATAACTAATAAAATCTCATAAAAGTTACCTGCGCGTGGGCGCGCGTGGTGTAGTAAATGAGTTTACGTCGAACTCTGTGCCTGTGGTGGAGTGTGTGGTGCTTCGGATGACGTGCTTGCTGATGACTCGGCGCGCCCACGCCATGTCTCTGGAACTGCGCGATTTCCTGCTCCTTCCTGTCTTGGAACCTTCCGAACTCGAAGAGCGATCCGACGACGTACTTGCGCTTCCGGACCACATCGACTCACTCACTCGATTCTCTAGGCAAGTCGCTCCCGAGATAGTTGCTGTACTCGTGTACATAGGTGAAGAACATCCATCACGTGGTTTCTTTTCTATTCTCAACTGAGAGACCGACGTCTGCAGCTCCGGCAGGTCCTCGTGCTTCGGTTTGCATTCTCCGCTTCCGCTGTAAGCCTCGTCGCTCTCTTCCTGTTTAGAAAGAGGTGGCGAGTCAGTATCAGACTCTTCATCATCGCTCATTATGATATCCATGAATTTTTCTGTATTCTCATTGAAGTCGTAAACACATTGTGTCAAGACCGAACCACGCGAAGACTTGGACTTATTTGCTGGCTGTTTATCTCGATTAAATGTCGTGTTGTTGGTGTGATGGGTCGGCAGCATGGAAGGAATAGTGGTATCAACTGTAGCGTAGGCGACTTCCTCCGGCCAAATTTTCTTATTACGACCTGTACAATGACACAATTTTTCGCTGCCAAACATGTAGTTGTAACAAATTTGTAGGGTACATATCAGTAGAGCCGCTATGAGTACCATACCCACATAGAGGGTAGGTGTCCAGTCAGCATCGACAGTGACATAAGATTGTGATAAAGCTCTCCACGGGTGCCATTTCGATACTCCTGAACTTTGATATTCAAAGAGGTTTCGTCGCGACAGACCTTTGCCGTAACTCTGAACAGCTGCAGCTATTCTCAACACTCCACCGTACGCTGCATAGAGTTTCTCATCTAAGAGGTGAGTGGCAACATCTCTCTTCATCCAGTGCCATAATTCGTTATTAAAATTAACAAAGTCGGAATGTCGACAATTTTCAGGAGAACTTTGTAGTATGCAACGAGCTGCTGTAGTATAATATTTCAAGAGGACGTTCTCAGAATGAGGCGCAGTCAAGCTGACTAAGCCGTTAACTCTAAAAGGAAGAGCGATCGCTGATGGTTCTTGTTTATCGTCGAGTTTTGGAGTTGGTAAATGAATGCAAGAATTTGTGTCACGTTTTGTCACCAAATATGTACAAGGTTCGTTTAATTTCCCAGAACCAATGAGAACTTTTACAACGGTCAAGTTTGCCCACTGCGGGATCTTTTCCGGCTCTTTCCATCCCAAGCCCTTCGTGTTAAGAAATGTTTTATACATTTCGAAAAGATCATGAATTTGTCTAACAGGCTTATGCGGAACGTATCCAGCATAATAAGCAAACCGAATAGTAGGAAGCATCTCATTGCGTAGATGTCCTCCAATAGAATCGAGCAAGGCTTCTTTCAGTATAGCGTTGTTTCGTTCGTCAGAATCTGACTGTACTGCAAAACGCAAAGCTCCTCTGTAAAATCGAATAGCCTCCTTTATAAATTTTGCGTCCACTTTATCTGGCGTAACCTGGGGAGGTATTATTTCTTGGAATAGCTTACGAGCACGTAGCTTTGCTAATTCATCTTCGGTCCAGCATTCCGATTTACCTCGCCTATTATAAAATATCGTACTACCCACATTTGATGTTTCAATCAATGTTATCTCCAATAAAATCATTAATATAGTCAAACATAGCATCGATTATGTGATAATAAAGTAAAATAATCAAACTGTCCACCAAGCACCTCTGTCCATAACTTTAAATGGCATGACACAAGTATGTCAAGCCAATTTGCCAAGAGTACCCAGAAAGAATACCTACCGAATATATGGTCCATTTGTACAAAAAATAACTCCTCGGAATAATTAAACCCTAAGATATGATAGGTAGGGCATAACTGATTTTCGCCGCCCATATGTCTATAGGACCGATCGTCTGGGGAAGTAAGCTCCACATTACAGAAGATAAAACACAGTAAAATTAAATTACCTTTTGGTAATGTTGTGTTTCTGTCGGTAGTAAGGTTTTAGGCAACGGTTCCAGCCGCGTTGGTCGTGCGTGTCGTGTTGCTCTATAGTTCCAGGGCTCCACGGGGTAGGATTAGGCTCTAGGGTCAGGGTAGGCAACGCAATGGTGAGAGTGTTATTATTGGTATCGCTAGTGTTTATCTGTAGGCTATGGTGGCCCTTTACCAGGTAGGCCATACAGTTGTTTGCCACCCATATACATATCACAAAAAAAAGCCTTCGAGCAGTAAAGCTCAAAAATTTCCGTAATGTTTTAAAATTATGACAATTTGGTGTTTCTGTAGACATAATAGATATAATATTTTTAGATTTTATTAGACTCGGTTGTAATTTTTACAAAATATATATAAATCGGCCGTGTAGACTTCGTGCCCTTTACCTCCTATGTAAAACGTAATTAAAAGTACTACCAAGTGTATGAAACTTCCTAAATTTGCAGGAAATCAGAAGATTGTGGGAAATCGCGACCAGCTACTTTAAAAATAGTCTACATCTATACTAATGTTATAAAGAGGAAAGATTTAATGACCTCTGTAGCCGAGTGGTTTGTATGCTTGGTTTCTGGTGTCGCCTACTCGAAAGGTCCCGGGTTCGAATCCCGATGACGGTAGATGTTTGTGTGATGAACACGATCATTTGTTTACTATGTATTTCTATGTAAATATACTTTTATGTGTACAGTATACATATTCTATCCGTTACCCTAGTATCCCTTAATTATTGATTAAGATAAAAAATCTTGAAATCGCTATTGGCAACACTAATTATCCCGCCACTGACAGTTTTTTGGCGGGCTTTTGAACGCACTAGGCGCGATATTTGATTTTCTTTTCAAAAAGTTTTATTTTAAGTTTGTTTTCTGTATATATCTTTGTAAATAGTATTCATAATTCCTTAAAAGTGTAGATAAATGTATCATCATGCCGGACGGGCACGACCCGCCCGGCGGGACTGAAAAAAGAAAAACTCCAAATAGGACCGAAGTAGATCCAGGATCATCTGATGATTTTTATAAGCCTTTCATCAAAAGCGGATACAAAAGGTTGTTTCCTGAAAATGCGGTGAGTGCTAATTACAGTGTTTTCGTCGAAAGCTGTAAGGAGGATGAAAAGTTGGGTAACAATAATCCTATCGTCACGACCAATCTCTTCAAGAATGAAATTAAGGGCATATCTAATATAAGAAGAGTCAACCCGACCAAAATTTCAGTTACGTTCTCACAGCCTAATAATGCCAATAATTTTTTAAAAAACGAAGAATTTTTGAACAAACATAAATTCAGGGCATATATACCAGCTGCTATGGTGGAAACCATAGGAATACTGCGTTTTGTACCCACAAGCATCAGCAACGAAGAGTTATTCAAAAAACTAAGTTCTCCTTATGAAATAGTTGCAGTGCGCAGATTCTCTAAAAAGGAAAATGGTACTGTCAAAGTTTTTAAAACTGTAAGCCTAACTTTTCTCTCAAATGTACTTCCGGAGCATGTTTTCTTAGATTTGTTTCGCTTTAGAGTACACGAGTACAATGCACCTTTGCTGCAATGTTATAAATGCTTCAAATTTAATCATGGCGCTAAGATATGCAAATCTATTCAAATATGCTCCATATGTTCCGAAGAGCATCATTACTCACAATGTCCAGACAATACAGTTGTTAAATGTGTGAATTGTCAGGGTCCACACCTTTCAATATCAAGAGACTGTCCAATCAAAAAACAAAGAATGGAGGAAAAGAAGAACAAAGTATCTTATGCAAATGCTATATTATCTAATAAAAATAAAAATGATACTAATTTAACAACTGATTATCAAAATAAATTTCCTAAATTACCTATTACAAAAAAACATTACCATTGAAAAAAACACTGAACTCCAATTCTGTCCCCTCAACCGTTTTGACTTCTAACAGCGCAGCGGAAAAAGATAGTTTGCAAAAATTATCAAACGAAAAGATAATTGATGAAATAATTAACAATGATTTTATTCGTAAGGCTATTGTTGGCGCTTTGGTTGCCATAGGAAACGATGAGAGAGCTTTAACCAGTAATGTTATCCAAGAGATACTTATTAAAACTTTAAAAAAAGATCAATAATGGATAAAAGTCACATACGAATATCTCAATATAATGTTGAAGGATTTATTAACAAAAAACCACTCCTCATCAATTTCCTGCAGGAAAATGATGTCGACATTTGTTTATTGAACGAAACCTGGTTAACAGAACGTAGTAGGTTGTCTATTCCGAATTATGATATAATCAACAAAATCTCTGTAGGTGGCAGAGGTGGAGTTTCAATTTTAATCAAAGATTCTTTTAAGTACTCTGTTCCTTCAATTCCTTTCTATGAAGAACTTCAGTCTGTGGCTGTTACAGTATATACATGTAATGGTGATATGTCTATTTTATGTGTTTATTGTCCTCCTCGGAAACAAGGGAGGTCAAACTTCCAATGTAATAAATTGAAAAAGATTATTAACGATCTTCATAAGCCAATACTGGTCTCTGGCGATTTTAATGCGCATCACGTAGCATTTGGTTGCCTTTCGTGTAACAGACGAGGAAACGAAATTTACAATATGTTTGATGAATGTGATCTTTGCATTCTGAATTCTGGCTCTCCAACCACTGTTGGCCACATAGGTCAAAATCCTTCAGCAATAGATGTCTCTTATATAAGTCCTTCTTTAGCTCCATTGTGTGACTGGAGTGTACACTCAGACCCTATGGGCAGCTATCATTACCCAACAGTTATAGATATTCATATTTCAATAGTAAAATATGAAATAGGTGAACCCACTGAGCGGTTTCTTTATAACAAAGCTAACTGGGACAGTTTTTATAATGACAGTGAATCTGCATTCGCTGATATCATTATTGACCTGAATAATCCATTGAATATATACAATGACTTTTGTAATATTTTAAATATATTAAAAAACAAACATGTACCCAAGTTGAAAAAAAGCACTCGACATCTTATAAAGAAACCTGTTCCATGGTGGGATGATAGCTGTAAAGAAATTGTGATCAAATGTAAACGTGCATTAAATTATTATAGGTCTCATCCAACTTTGGAAAATTATATAGAATATAAAAAAACAGATGCCCTTAAAAAAAGACTACTTAGTGAAAAGAAAAAGAACAGCTGGTTAGAATTATGTGAATCCTTTAATAGATACACTCCAGTTAGCACTATATGGAATTACATTAGACGATTCAAAAGAGTTTCTTGTTCTAAGAAGCCAAAAAATTCAGAATGGATTCCTTCCTTTTTCAATAAATATGCACCTGTTACTCCACCTGAAAAAGAAATTAATTTAAATACTTTAAAGTCGTCTTTTACCAGTAATGGCAGTCCTAAAGCTTACTTCCTTATAGAACCTTTTTCTTGGCATGAGTTTATAACATCTTTAGAATCCAGAAAAGATACCACTCCTGGTCTTGATGATATCAGATATACCCTTATTAAAAAATTACATATAAATGCACAGAAGAAACTACTACTAATATTCAATTTACTTTGGAATCATGATATAATACCACCTTCTTGGAAAACCCAATGTGTCATCCCAATATTGAAACCTGATAAACCAATAGAGGATAGTGATTCCTATAGACCCATCTCATTATCTTCTTGCATAGGTAAGATATTTGAAAACATTATAAAACTCAGATTAGATTATTATATAGAACAAAACAATATATTACCTGCAGAACAGTTTGGTTTTCGCAAAGGTCGCAGTGCCTCTGAAAGTTTTACTTCATTGATATCAGACATAAGAACTTCATTTCTTCAACATTCTGTGACTGTCTGTGCTTTTCTTGACATCAAGGGTGCATTTGATAACGTTAACCCAGCTGTTATGGTACAAGTACTGCATGATGTAGGCATTCCGGGCAAACTCTGTAAATGGGTACACAATTTCTTATATGAGAGGCTCATGTACATAAAGCACAATAATATTCTTCATGGTCCAAGATATGTATACAAAGGTACCATGCAGGGGGCCACTATCTCTCCCCTTTTGTATAATATTTATACTTGTCAACTCAAGCAATTTTTAAAGGAGGAAAATGTACATTTTCTGCAATTTGCAGATGACCTAGTTGTATATACTGTAAATAATAATGTAATTATAGCTGTAAATAAACTAAATAAGGCATTATCTGAAATATATAATTATTATTTTAATAGACTTAAACTAGAAATAAGTAGCAGTAAAAGTTCTGCTATGATTTTCTCTAAGAAATGTATTGATATACCTGTTAATAGTCACATTATATATAATAGTTGTCCTCTACCATGGGTACAAACCCACAAATTTCTTGGTATATGTTTGGATCCAAAATTAAACTTTCAAAGCCATTTTGACAAAATCATTAAGTCTGCTACACATGGGTTAAATATACTTAGATCATTAGCAGGTGTACATTGGGGAGCTGATCCAAAAATATTGTCAATGTTGTATAAAAGCCTAATAAGAAGCCACTTTGATTATAGTTCTGTAGCTTACATGAATGCAGGTACAAGTTTATTAAAAAAACTAGACATTCTTCAGAATAGGGCACTTCGAATTATAACAGGTGCAATGTGCTCTACACCTATTCATGTAATGCAAGCTGAAAGTTGCATCCCACCTCTTATACTACGTCGTTTAAAATTAGCTGAAAGATTTTGTATTAAAAATGTATCATCTAAAATGTCATTTATTGTAGGTAAACTATTGCCCCT